AAAGAGAGTCGCGTCGTCCTAATCGGGAAGTGAGGGCAAGTGAGCGGAAGGCGGAGAGTCACGGGTTCTGGGGGGGCAGAATCTTCCCAGCGACAGAAAGATATAAAAGATGGACATTAAGGGGGTGAATATTGAGTAGATGGACAAGGGATATTGAATAGATAGAAGTAATGTAGACGATTGGCAGCAGTTCTATCAGTATAACCCAGAAAGGCTAGCAAGCAAGAGCGTCATCTTCATCCTACCTTAAATACAAACAGACGGACGAAACGAGAACAGCTATGCGTTCAAAGAAAACAGTATCTTGACAGTGGCTACATACTAAAGGCACAAGAAAAAGGACAAACAGAGTCTATGGCAGAGCTGGAACTGGAGCTGGAACGGCAATGAAATTGCAACTACAACAAGACAGGATGGTGTCTATATAGGGTTTCGTTTGGGGTAGACGGCGGTTGGTGGCTAGCTGCTGCCATCCAGGGGGATACCTTCGTACTCCGAGTATCCTAGCGCGAGGTTCATGTTTTCTATGGCTTTGTTAGACGTATGCTTTAAGTCGAATATAGGGCTATGGGATAAACGCACGTAGACATTGAGTTGCAGCACCCTTGAGAAGGTTGTCAATAGTAGCGCAGACAATGACTCGCTTCCCGCTCGAATGGACTGCGAAACCACCGACTTCAATCCCATGGCGGCCGGAGATGTTTTTGACCAGCGGCGCCTCACCGACGACCTTGACCAGTTTCTCACCTGCGTAGCGGTCCTGATATAAGTTGCGGATGTCGCGGGAGGCCATGGCCTCTTTCAGCGGGATGTTGATAGTGTGCTGGATATAACATGGTTAGCAAGTGTCAGAAAAAAGCAGGATAGAAGTAGAATAAGGGGCTGACATACGTGAATGCCCTGGAACCAAACCGCAACATGAGGAATAAATGCAACCTCAGCACCAAGCTGAGAGCCGATTTCCCTCTCATGGATATGGTCCGTAAGACTGTACGGAACGATATTGTTGGTCAAGTAATTCACATCATTCTTCAGACTAGGCTTGGTTCCTGCGCCGGAGTACCCAGATACACCGAAGACAGTAGGCTGGCCGCCCAAGTACGGCACCAGCGGCGCAATGCCCACCTGTGCAGCTGTGGCATAGCATCCGGGGTTGGCAATGCGAGTTGCCTTGGCTATCGTAGACCGATTTACTAGCTCCGGCAGACCGTATGTCCAGGAGTCATCGAACCTGTAGTCTGCGCTGAGATCGACGATGACGGCCTTCTCCTTGTCGACGGAATCAACGGCGTCCACAAACGGTTTGCACACTCCGTTCGGCATGGCCATGACCCAGCAGTCGACGTCGCCTTGCTCAGCCATGCGCTTGACGTCATCTGGGCTGAGGTTCTCGTAGATGATTTCCCGCTTGTTGTAGCCCTGCAGTGGCTTGCCTGCTAACTCACGGGAAGAGACGTGGGCTAGGTCCATGTATGGGTGGGCGCTGAGAAGACTGATCAGGGCTTGTCCGGTGTAGCCGCGAGCACCGATCAGGGCGACCTTGGAGGGTTTGGTGTTGGATGCGTTTTTCTTGCCCAGGGGAGGGTTTGGGTTGGTCTGGGTGGTGTATGAACGGGAGAAGCCCGGGTGGGTATATTGTTGCTGCTGTCTGAGGGATCGCAGAGCAGAAGCGGTGGTGGTGGCTGTAGAGAATGCTCGTTTCTGCTGGACGGCTGCAGAAGGATTGCTGCCACCTGCCACGCTGCTATTCAGGGAGGACTCCATGCTGAGGTTACCGAGCATGTCACGGCCATTCTTGCTGAATTCGACGACGAGGTCCTTGACTTCGTCCGCCTCCTTGACGCCGGACCAGAAAAGCACTTCGCCATCCCGACATAGACTGCCGTCAGCCTTGTCGAAGAACCAGGAGAGGTTCTCGTCGTCTTCCTTGACGGTCCAGGTAAGCTTGGGGAAGTCCTTTTGGATGCTGGTGAAGACGTTATCGGCAACATGGGTCAGCCAGCCGGTCTTGGTGATGGACATGGTAGCCAGGTGAGCGAGCGTAGAGCCCGGTTTGGGCGGCAGGACAATGGCCAGAGCCTCCAGGGGCTCGTCCGAGTAGGCCTTGATCTCCTTGCCTCTGAGTGAGTCAACGTATCTGTCCACGGTAGCCCTGGCATCCAGCGCCTCCTGATCACGCACAAGAGCGTTCTTTAGGGCTTCGATATCCTCGAACTCCTCGATGCTGTTCCTAGTCTGGACCTTGTTGCCCCGTCTGATCAGGGTTCCGGCACCGGTATCAGTGAACAGCTCCTTTTGCAGGTCCGCAGGGTGTATGATAGCCACGCTGGAGGTCCGGGGCAGGTCCATAAGCAGTTCCTTCATCTCCTTGATCTTAAGACGGGTTCCGTGCCGAACCCACCACTGCTTCATGAGATGGTCATACTCTTCATCCAGGTTGATAGCCGAGATCTTCTCGCCTGTATCTCCATTGAACAACCCGCCCTTCTCAGCCAGGTATACGATTTTCAGCGGCTGGAGTTCCCTCGCAAGTTCACCGGCAGCAACATCCGCATTGACGTTCAGCACCTGGCCCTCTGGCGTCTCGGCCATGGAGGTGAGGATAGGCAAGCATCCGGCTTCAATTGCGGCCTCGATGGGCTTCTTGTTGACCCCATTGATCTTGCCGACAAGATTGTACTTGTCTTTATCCAGGTAGTCTGCCGAGAAGACACCCGTGGTCAATGGCCTTGCTCTGACGCCCAACCGCTCCAGCTCCTCGACCAGCTTGAGGTTCTCTTCCATGAAAAGCGACCTGGCCAACGCCAGCGTCTTGCCGTCCGTGACTCGAATGCCGTCTTCAAAATGCGGCTCCACGCCGGCGTCCTCCAGCATCTTGTTCAACTGGGGTCCGGCCCCGTGCACCACGATCGGGTATAGGCCGACATGGTTGAGAAAAGCAAGGGCCGAGGAGAGCGTCTGCAGGTGTTCTGTTATGATGGCGCCGCCGACCTTGATGACTGCGAACTGCTGCGAGGAGACGGAGGTGAAGTGGGAGAGGTACTGCTGGACCTCACGCTTGGAGCCGATGTTGCTGAGCAGCTGGACGACGGTCGAGCGAGTCGAGAGGTGCGGCTGGTAGCGAGACGAGGTGTAGCTGCGTCTTTGTCTGTATGCAGCAGAGCCATATCTCAGCGGCGTTGCCGTCCATGAAGCTGGTGAAGCTGGTGAAGCTGCCAGTCGGCCAGGACCCCCCAGTCCGGTGGAGCGAGCTGCCAGGCGGCCCGCGGCCCTCCGCGCAAGATGGCTCGACATGGGCGGCAGAGCAGTGCTGGACGGTCAATCTGGTCTTCTCGTTCGGCGTCTCGTCTCTTCGTCTGCTAGAGCGAGAGAGCAAGAGCGCGGCTGGTCGTCTGTCTTCGTCTTCGTCTTCGTCTTCGTCGGTCTGTCTGGTCTGATATTTATTACTCACCGGCAAGAAAAGCGAAGGTGGACCTTTTTTTCTTTTTTAGCTTCTTCACCAGCGAAAAAAAGCCAGCCGATCTCGGCTCTCAGCTTAGCTGCGCCGGCCGCATAATAAATGATAAACATAAACAGGCTGCACGGCACTTAGCTGCAGCTTTCCCTTGCTACTAGTATATTTATCTAGTAGTAGTACGGAGTAGCTGCTCTACTATCATGTTTTAAGGCTGGTCTGCTCACCCTTGCCCTGGTCGACCCACTGCCAATGTTGCTTTTTATAGGGATGCAGCTTTCATAGGACATGCAGTATCAACGAAGCAAGACTACGTACAGAGAAGGGAAGACAGGACGAGAGAGAGGAGGAGAGAGAAGGGGAGTGGCTAGGGAGAACACGCAGCCATTATAATAGTCGCTATTGTAACACATTACGGGAATTTCGTTGGCCAAAAAGAAAGAGAAAGGAAAAGAAGAAACCCTCTATTACCCCTTGGTTCCCGTCCCTAAAGCAGAGCGACTCCAGTTGAGATGGTTCGTTGGCATCGGCGGGAGTTCAAAGAGTCATGGTATTAAAACAGAATCACAAAAAAACAGACAAAAGAAATCAGGGCACAAAAAAGGAAATAAAGAAAAAGGTCATCGGGGAAAACTCGTGGTCATCCGAGTAGGCCAGGCATCAGTATCACAATCACAATCAGTTATCAGAATACACACACACACGGTCATGGATTTCGCATAGTTGGGGGGAGAGGCAGTGCTAAAGTGCTAAATAGGAGATTCATGAGGTGGACGAGGGAGAGAGCCTTCGCTTGTTCGATGGCAAGGGTATTGGCGAAGGGGGCTGGATTAGGTGGTATATGGACGTATAGAATCACTTGGCATGCTTTGATGCGACGACTACATGGAGGTTAGCATGCGGTTGTCAAGACAAGAATGAAGATGGTTAAGATGAAAGACGCACCGGCTGGGACTATGATGATGATGAGCAGGACGATGATGCCGATGATGAGCCATATGCGCATCTTGACATCCTTCCACCACATCTGCTTCCGGACGCGGTTGGCTCCCCGACGGAAACCCTGAGCAGAGACGGCGAGGTTGTCTGTCTTGTCCTGCAGGGAGTCCAGGTGCTCGCCTCGCTGCGAGACCTTGTTGATGTTCTCCCGCATCACATCGACGGTATCATCGATTTGCTATTACTTCGTCAGCACGTTTGTCCCCATTATTGTCTATTCCATTATCGGGAGATAACAGCCGTATCAAGCAAGGGTCAGACATACGGCCTGCAGCGCTGCTGTCCGCTGGTTGCCTGAGGTCGGCCCATCCTGGCCGGGCTTCGACTGGGAGGGAATGTAAGGGTCGTAGGGCTGCTCGCGGTCGGCCATGGCGGTGGTGTATGTGAGACAACAAGAGAGACGGACGCTGGAAGATACGGCGGCGAGAGAGAGGGAGCTTGCGACGGTTATGTAGTAGTGCTGGCGGCAAGCAAGGAGGGAGGAGGGAAGACGCAGAAGATGTAACTATCTATCTGCGACCAGGGACGGACGGGCTGGCTTTGAACGCTAGTCTGGGAGTTGCTGGGAGTGCTGGCAGCGACGGGCAGCAGTGGCGAGGACGAGGGCGCGCAAGTCGACGAGGCGGAGCTGGCGGTGCCAAAGAGGACGTTCGTAGACGACAGCAGGATGGCCTTCTTCTTCTTCTTCTTCTTCTTCTTCTTCTTCTTCTTCTTCTTCTTCTTCTTCTTCTTCTTCTTCTTCTTGTCTCTTCGTCTTCGCTTCTTCGTCGTTGTTGTCGTCGTCTTCGTCTTCTCTCGCTGTCTTTTCGTTTGCTTGTTCGTCGTCGTCGTCTTTTTCCTTTTTTGCTTCTTTCTTTTCTTTTTTAGGCTTCGTTTCTGCCTTCTTCTGGAGTACGTAAGCAGGCCTTGGCGATGCTCCTTTCATTAAATACACGTGATGTTATGCTGATGAGTAATATATGAGTAAGCAAATAGTCTAAAGTTAGAGTTAAAAGCTTAAAGTTGAAGACAGCAAAAAGACAATTAAGAGACAGTGAAGGGATAGAAGAGAAGATAGAGAGTGAAGATAGAGACAGACAGGGCAGGGATAGGGAGAGTGACGGTGAAGACGTGAAGATAACATAGTGAATAAAGAAGGTAAGAAAGCAGGGTGAAGAATAAGATGGTGAAGACACACTGTGAAGATAGAGATACCCAGCATGAGAGTGTGAAGACAGAGATAGTGAAGAGATACCCGTGAAGAGACACCGTGAAGAGACACCGTGAAGAGACACCGTGAAGAGACACCGTGAAAAAAGGGATACGCAGTAAGAGAGAGCGTGAAGATAGAGATAGTGAAGAAGACAGTGAAGCAGGGAGAGTCACCAAGACAGCGAGGGGAGTCTGGAGATAGTGAAGGAGACCCTCCCGGAGGTCTATATAAACCCCCATCTTTCCCTTCTTTTGGACTTTCTCTTCTTCTTCTTCTTTTATTTCTTCATCAGCATTCCTCCTCATCTTCCCTCTCTATCCCACTACCTTCTTACTACCTTTTAACTCCTATGTCTTGGTGGATATGCCGACATCCATAGAATTATACGATATACTTCATCCTCAAGCACAGATATGTCTACAACCACCTGTTTTTATTCCTTTATCTACCTCTCTGTTTTATGCTGAGACAGAACCTTGCCCTATACTTTGCTCTCTCTATCCCAGAGAGACCATCCGTCTTTTGTATACTGCATTCCCTTCTCTCAAGATAAAACTGCATGGAGATACCTATCTATATCTAGCTGATAGGGACCTCGACAGAGACCTTGCTCTCTCTCATATCCTGTGACACTACGGCTCTCTTCAGCCAATACTCTCGGGTTGATATACTCTCTGATTTGGTTATCGGACTAACGATCTACCCAATCTTCCTCGAGTACCGGATCAAGGAGACCTCTATATCGCTGGGAGATGAAAAACAGTAGAACTCACTCTCACATTATCTCCCTGGTGCGAAAGCATATGTCAGGCCTTGGGAAAGAAGAATACAAACTTGATCTGGAAGTACGTTAAAGCTATATAAACAGCCAAACGTATCAGAAAGATGAAGAGCAGTGGCCTCTCATTCGATATTCTCAGAAATAAGATCAACAGGGCTGCTGTGAGAAGACTCACTGCCGTGGGACCTAGCAAGCGCAGGAACAAGCATATTACAGCGGCTGACATCGACATCCTAGAGAAGATCAAAGAAAATACCCCTGTCTCATACCGGCTCTTTGTTGCTGTCTTTTTCTCCTTCAACCGCTGAAACCACAAACGAGATATGGAACTCATCATTTTGAGATTTACAAGGCTTCAGCCTCTTATGGGAGCTGGGTGATGCGCCAGGTTTGCTAGCTTATAAAGCTATACTGCAGTACCTGAGCTGGAAAAAGCGATACAAGTGCGCCCCCCCTGCATATATATTAGGGGGTTGGTGCGGTCTATCTTTCTACGACACTCTCCGCAGCGTTACTTAAGAGGAATATACCAATAGCTGCTGTCTTTGCCTCTGCCTTAGCCGGTGGTCTTGGGAATTCACGATATACATAGTATATATAACATACACAGTCATTCTCTAGATATCTAGAGCCCCCTGGCTTCCCCACCCACACTACATGGGGTGGGGGTCCTCTGTTGGATGTTAGCTAGGGGGGTGCGTCTGTCTCTTGCACAATATATTGACTGGACTTCAGCCTTATAAGATACCACTGGTTTACAAGATAAAGAGTCCTCTGTTGGATGTTAGCAGGGGTGTGTCTATCTTCTGCATATTATATTGATCAGACTTCGGCTTTACCTATTACCACTTGGTTTATGCACTCTATAGAGTGGAAGGTCCTCTGTTGGATGTTAGCAGGGGTGTGTTTGTCTCTTGCACAATAAATCAACCGGACTCTAGCATCACCTATTACCGCTTGGTTTATTAGCAGCTTGTCCCTTCTGCTGGAGGGGTTGTGTGTTAGAGCTTCCAGGAGGCGAAGACTATATTGACAGAATGAAGGCCATCCCAGTCTGCTCTGCAGCTGCTTTTACGATATCTAGGGAAGGAAATACCACGGGTTGGTGCTTTTTTACTGGGTACTCTGCCTGGGGTGGGATCCCCTTTACTGACCTACGCATCTTTGTGAACATTTTGACCAACCATCTCTGGGTCGATACATGGTCGCAGATTTATTCGACCCGGGCGGTCATCCATTGCTGGGACAAGTTACCCGGCCTGGCTGTGGCGTTGAAGGTAAGGTACTAGGTATCACACTCTGGTGTGCGGGATATGGATGGCAACTGCTTTTGCCTTCAAGGTTGGAAAATTAGCTGCCAACGTATTTTTCAGATCCATCCAGAGTCCATCAACTCAACAGGGGCGTCTTTTGCTTTATCTGCTCTGCTTCTAGGCGTCGCCCTTCCATAGCCATCGAGGGCTCGTCTACTTAGTTCGGCAAAGACACAACTATATTCGCATACACGGGCATATACAGCCGCAAAAGGGTCGTGATATCAATGTATAGGAGTTACTTACTCCTTGATCTATGTTGGCCCGGTAAGGAATGGTTCGAGCAGTTCTACGAGCGATCACTGCTGTGGCAATCGCCGAGAGCCCATCCCGTGAGTTTTGGGCCTCTGAAAGACGTGGCTGCTTCTTAAAAGAGCACAGATACGATGGTTCGCGCTGCGATCGAAGAAACTGAGGGAGTCATACCCTGTCACCCTGTTGTTATATTTGCATTGCCTTATACGGTTGCGAAGCTGGCATGCCTACTTTCAATGACCCTATTACCACTACATGTGGGTGCTGGCTGCCTGCTGCCCGCAACTGTCAATTCTGGTGGAATGATGGGAGGACTAACTAATGTCTGACCAAGGTATTGCTGGGGGCACTCTGTACACAGGGTAACTCCTTTTATTTATACAGTGGCCTGGACGGTCTAGCTGGCGGCTGAATCCGCAGCAGCCTAGCTAGCCTCCGCTGCTGTTGCTTGCTAGTTCACAAGGGAGCGGGTGTTGCTGTGTGGGATATCTTATAGATGGACAGAGGATATGTTGTTTTTCATAACCTGACGACACGGAGCATCGTGGTGGTTTACAATAAAGGTCCATCAAAATAGCGATTGTCGACCTGACTGGTGATAGGCAGGATGAAGTTATCACCAAGGGCTAGTCAAGAGTTGCAGAATACATCTCCAAGATGAAGCGAAGACCACGTCACTAACAAAGGTGTAAGTGGGCTGGCTGGTATATCTTTTCTGGGCCCTCGATGTCAATCACCAGATCCGAGGGGGAGATCCAAATAGTTGTCAGTGATACTCGGTGGGATCAATGGGAATTATCCTATGCTTGTGGTGGTGTAGGGTTAAACCTACACCGCGATTGTACCACTCTTATTCTGGTAGAACCCGCAATCAATGTGAATACCACGATTCAAGCTATCGGTCGGCTTCATCGTCTGGGGCAGAAATCTTGTCAGCAAATATTTATACTGTTCTTAAAGCATAGCTGGGACCGATACATCGAACACAATGCAGCGAAGAAAATGGTTGGATAAATTGTCGCAGATAATGCAGACATTTTTGATCAATTTCTTTCGAGTATAGAAACGCCACTGCTAGAACAGTGGCTTACTCTCTCTTCTCAACAGGATTCAGACCGTCATCTCGAAACTATTTAGAGACGCCTTCATCGTTGTGCGAATCATCACATTATCAACCTACTGGACTTGCATTTGGTATGATTTATATATAGTTAGCCGTCTATCAATCACTGCCTTACATTGCACTCACAATAATCCTACCTCTCTTCCTGTAAGACACTGTAAATCATAGATCGTAAGTCTCCGCTTCCCAAGGACCAGCTAGGCCAGAACAGCCGTTCGTATCGCCATCGCCGTTAAATGTTGGCTCGGTTGGCTGCTGGCCGGGGGGTCTGTCAGGGGCAGCCGAGGGCGATACGAGCCAAAGCCCCAGCGGTGCCTGGCAGGTCGAAAAGCCTACTTACAAGCGAGCCTATCACACAGGCAGCTCGAGGGCAGCAGAAGCCCTTGGACTCTCCTCGCTCGGGGGCCGTTGGTCGTACAGCGAGAGAGAGTCGAGAGTCTCCTGCCCAGGGGCTCCCCGTCGCACCGCAGGCAGTCTTATATCTCTGTATAACTGCCCGTCTTCCATGCTGTGACTCGCTGGCGTAACAGAGCAGCTAAACAGATCAGCAGCCGACGGCCCTCAAGCGCGCAGCCTCAAACACAAGAAGCACCGAAGAAGCAAAAAAAAGGTCGCCTCCTGTGTCGGATGCGCCTTAGCGAAGCCTCCAAGTGGACTTTTTAACAGCTTAGCTATAACCATCTCCATCCACTTCATCTCCATCTCCATCTATATAACTATAACATCCAGCATCTCCCAGCATCCCCCAGCTGCATCTCTGATCAACTCCAACGCCAGGCTGGTCCAGCAAGACGACGGCAGGCTCCGCTCCAGTCACTGCATCGAACACGCAGGAGGAACCAGAAGAGAGGCCGGCGGTTAACTGGCTAACTAGCTGGCCGGGGTTGTCGCGTGGTCGCTTTTTGCTTCTTCCTCGACCAGCGTCCTTTTTGACAGCCATCTTCGACCGGCATCATCATCGCCAGCAGCAGCATAATTAATACTTACTAGCAGAGACATCCCCCTGCTGGCTTCGACTGGCCTGACACCGAGTTTATATTAACGGCCCGCTCGGCGCTTCGCACTATCGATCGCCTCCATTTCACCTTTTGCTCCCCTTTTTGCTCTCGCCCGCCTCCTTTTGACTCCCTCGCGCCCCTCGATATATATTTAGAACCAGGTCCTGTCGACCGCTGCCGGCACGCAAATAGCTAGATGCTGATCGGGTGATATACTATACCTGCTGCCTGACTCGCCGTTGAGAGAGACTCCTCCTGGCGGGGCCGGCGCATCGCTGTCGAGATCGTTAGTTATCACCACTGCTATAGCTAGTTAACGAACCAACCTCCTCCCACTAACTAGTGAGTCGACGATCGAGATCGGGATCGCGATAAGACGCTGAAGGAGCCGCATTGGAACCACCAAGAAGGGACGGGCTGGCGATTCTCACTAGCCCAGCCGACTAGCTGGTTACTATCAGAATCAAGAGGAGCAGCTAGTTAGCTGGACGCCTGTCCACTGTCCACTGTCCACTGTCGACGGCCATGGCCTACCACCAGGCTCGTCCGCCGCCCCGTCGTGGGCCTCCGCCAGGACCGGGAGGACCGCAGTATTATGGCGGCAACAGGCCTCCGCCGCCGCAGCAACAGCAACAGTACTACAACTACCACCAGCAGCCAGACAGATGGCCTCCCTACGGCGGTCCGCCTGGTCCTGGCCCCGAGCGCCGGCAGATGAGCTACGACGATGGCTACTCGGGCGGCCAGCAGGATCCCTATGCGCGTGGTGGTGGTGGTGGTGGTGGTGGTGGTGGTGGTGGGCGGCCCATGTACGATGACGGCCACCATCATCATATGGCTCCCGGCGGCAGCAGACCTCCTCCTCCTCCTGCTGCTGCTACTGCTGCTCCCTCGCCGGGCTATAGAGGACCGCCGCCTCCCAACGGACACCACCAGCCACCTCCTGGACCAGCAAGGCCGCAGAACAAGCCTCCTCCCCGTCACGGTAGGTCTGCTACTTTCTTTATATGGCATGCAGTAACTAGTTAGTTAAGGACAATGCTAACTGCGGTCTGTAGCGCCCCAAAAATCTCCAGAGCTGAAGAGCTGCTTTGACAACCCGTTCCCTGCATTCCCTCCAAAGAAGCGCGGCAACTCCATGGACGGGCTGCAGAAGAAGATGAGCGCTGTCGAGCTCAATAATAACAAGTCCCAGAATCACGCAGAACCCCAGATTGCAAGGCCGCATACCTCAAACTCCAACCGTCCGCCGCCCTCGACGTACCACTCCGAACCGCTGCCAACGATGAACCCCCGTCAGCCGCCAAGTGGGAATGGAAGTCAGCCTGTCCAGCGCAAAGCTGGAGCTCCTGTTCCTCTGACTGTTGAAACGAATCAGCCTGCTCCTCCCCGGCAGGATCCGCGAAGTGCTCCGCCTACTCGAAGCGCTACCATGCCTGTCACCATGTCTAACCCTATGTCAGCGGCACCAACATCAGCACCGGCACCTCCACCACCGCCACCAGCAGCAGCAGCAGTAACACCAGCATCTGGGACGCAGCAGAGACCCCTTTACCCCGGCAAGCGCACCTGGCAGGACCCTGGCATTAGCCTTAGCCCCCCGCCTCTGAGCCCTGCCCTACAGCACCCTCATCGCCTCCCCGACACACACCCGGTTTCATCCAGACCAGGTACTGCTGCTGGTGTCAAACCGGAGGTAGTCCACCCGAAGCACGCCGCTGCCGACCTCGAACCTCACGTTGCTGACAAAGTTGAAGGTGGTGTGGAAGACGAGCTCAACTACTTAAATGAGGATCTGCTTAATGACTATTATGACAACGCAGGGCCCGAAACTGAACCCGACATGCCCAACTTTGGCGCAATGTCTGACGACAACGTTTCCTCGCCGCATGCAGAGACGCTGATACCGTTCGAGAAGCCTAATCCTCCCATGCCGTCATCATCATCATCATCATCGGCAGGACCAAAACCTGCATATGCTCCCTACAAGCCATCAGGAAGTATGCACTCTTCTCCTGAAAGGCACGGTCCTCCAAACGGCATTCCGGGACATTTGATGCATGAACGATCTCAATCCCCAGCATACGGCCACCAGGGCTACGGCGGTCATCCAGGCAATGGATACTATGGAAGACCAGATGCTCGAGCCATGACTCCGGTCCAACGCGGCGGCTACGGTGGTGGTGGTGGTGGTGGTGGTGGTAGAGGAGGATATCCTCCGCAACCTCCGCACCAGCAATACCGTCAATATGGACCTCCTCCGCATGAGAATGGTGGTGGAAGAGGCCCATACGACGGTAGACAGGCGTATCCGCCTCAGGATATGGGCTATGGCGATGACCAGTACGGCGGCTACGGGGGACCGGGACCGGATAACCACCCTCACCACGCTCCTCCCGCTCCCTTCCGACCAGGCCTTGACCAGGGACCCAAACCTGCGCCCGTAAGGCAGTATACTAGCACTCCGCAGCCAGCACCTACATCACAGCCCGGCCAAGGTGCCCCTGCATCCTACGGCGGTGATACGCGCCGCCAGTCACAGCCAATAACCCTCGGGGAGCTCCACGCAATCCAGCAAGCTGCACGAAGCAGCCCAGGAGATCACGCCAAGCAGCTTGTCCTGGTCAAGAAGCTCGTCGAAGCTTCAGTTCATCTGATCGACGACAATGGCCGCGCAGACCCAAAGACCAAGGCTAAAAACCGCGAACGATACGTCATGGACGCCTACAAGACTGCCAAAAAGCTTGTTAGCGCGGGATACCCACCCGCAATGTTTTACATGGCCGACTGCTACGGCTCCGGCCAACTGGGGCTAGAAATCAACCCCAAGGAAGCTTTCAACTTGTACCAATCCGCCGCTAAGATGGGCCACGCCGAATCCGCCTACCGCCTCGCCGTGTGCTGCGAAATGGGCCAGGAAGGTGGTGGAGGAACTCGCCGTGACCCCATGAAGGCAGTCCAATGGTACCGACGTGCTGCAGCCCTAGGCGACCCTCCCGCAATGTACAAGATGGGCATGATCTTGCTCAAGGGCCTGTTGGGCCAGCCCAAGAATCCCCGCGAAGCGCTCTCGTGGCTCAAACGTGCCGCCGAGCGAGCAGACGAAGATAACCCGCATGCCCTGCACGAGCTGGCCCTGCTGTACGAAAACCCCCATGGCATCGACTCCATCATCCGCGACGAGAACTATGCTCGCGAACTGCTCCATCAGGCAGGTGAATTGGGCTATAAATTCTCCCAGCACCGTCTGGGCGCAGCATACGAGTACGGGCTCGTCGGATGTCCCGTTGATCCGAGACAGAGTATATACTGGTACACGCAGGCGGCGGCGCAAGGCGAGCACCAGAGCGAACTCTCCCTTAGCGGCTGGTATCTGACTGGTGCCGAGGGGATATTGCAGCAGAGCGACACGGAGGCATACCTGTGGGCTCGTAAAGCTGCCATGGCCGGCCTGGCGAAGGCGGAGTATGCGATGGGCTACTTCACTGAGGTCGGCATTGGTGTTCCCGCGAACCTGGACGATGCGAAGAGATGGTACTGGAAAGCATCATGTAAGTCCTCGCCCTTTCATACCTATTTATTTCGTTAGCCCCTTGCAGAAGAAGAATGTACTGCTAACGTCGTACAGCGCAAAATTTCATGAAAGCCAGAGAACGACTGGAAGATCTTCGACGAGGCGGCGCAAGAATGCAAAAGACCCGCGTGTCTAGATCGGCCGTCAACAAAAACGAAGGCGACTGCATTGTAATGTAATTCTTTTTCATTTTTTTTTTCCTTTCCTTTCCTTTTCTTTATGCTTGTTTCTCTTTGCTTTACGCCGCTCGAGATATCCCTTTGCATGCACGCATGTTTTGCACTGTTTCGCCTAGACTCGTCTTACCTTGCATGCTTTGGATGAATTCCCTTGACTTGAGCATCTCGCAATGTCTTGTTTTTTTCATAACTACCTCGCATGTCCGTCTGCTCGTCTTAATGTTGATTCCACCCACCACCCCCTGGTGGGGATTAATCCTTTCAATCTTCCTTCCTTTCCTTGCACATAACACCTTATACACTTTTGCGTTTTTCCGTGTTTCTGTTTTGCTGTCTTTGCTTTGCTTTCATGACCCTTGGTATAAACGTGATGATTGTCGTGTTGTTTATTCATATCCATACCCTCTTTTTGGTCGTTTGGTTTCCCTCTGCGAGCGCTGCCTAGATGAAGTTAAATAGCTTTGAGCAAGGGGTTTGGATAGGAAAGTAAATTAATGCCATTAATATTTCCGATATTCGCAGTCAACATCTTTCGACGAGTCTCATGCCAGTTTGATCCTCTCTTCTATTTGTGTCTGGCGTTAAATGCCACGTAATTGAGTATCCTGGTAAATATATCGGAATACTGTATTATTCCATATCTATCCCTCACGCTGGTATAGGTACATTGGTTTAAAAAAGAGAAAAACAGTTTCGGTTCGTAAGAGAATAGTGTACAATCACGACTGTTGCGGCAGACCATCCTTCACAAGGACAGTCACTTTTTGCTCTATTTCCTTATCGCTCAAACCCAAGAGAGTCTCTTGCTTCTCCTTTCCGAATTCTAACCGCTATTAGCTTCCTCTCACGTATCATTCCAGGCATAAGACGTACCGTATCTGGCAAATACCCGTGGCTCGACATCGAGGGCCTCCCGTATCAATATCGGTACAGATGGGTTGTTCTTCTTCATGGTGGGGTATGCCCGTTTAAGGAACGCTCTGGGAACACATATACCTGTCAGCAGACTGGTCTTCCATTGCCGAATCCCTTCAATGACCGTGAACACAAGGCGTTTCTTACCTGGTGGCATCGCCGTGTGCGGAGGAGTGGCAGAACAGGAACCGGAGTTCCTTGAGCCCGGTGTTGAAGGCGTATCGCGAGGCCATGGTGGCAGCTATACAGACAGTCCCTCCGCTCGTTCGCAAGGGCCTGGTTCGTCGCAAAGAGAGTGTGTCGAAGCCTCAATTGAGCGTATCAGCTTGCCGTCGCCGTCGTTTTGCTGCTTCGTTTTCGATGTTTGACGTCCAAAAGTCCAGGCTTATGTAAGCATAACGTGACTTTGATTACTCAGTTCTTACATCATCAAATAGCCTGCGGAAACCGGAGGAAGAAAGAAAGATCGCGGAGTTGTTGAGCTGCAAGAAAGACGACGAGGAAGACGAAGACGACGACGACGACGACGACGAAGAACGACGGCGAGGACTTGGACTTGGACTTGGACCTGGACTTTGGGGCCTGGCCTTTTCTTTCTTTCCTTTCGGCTGTGTATTATATCTTGTTTCTCTAGGATCAAAAGGCCGTTTTGTCTCTCGGTTCTCTCTGTCTAGTCGATACACTACAAACTACCGCCAACATGTCGTCGAAGATCGGGCTGCGTCTCTTCCAGAACTCCAGGGCTGCCTTTCAGAATGCCACTGCTCGCTTCAGGGCGCAGGCTCTCCGGGCCCGACGATTCCAGAGCACCGACGCCGGTGCGGCCCAGCAGAGCTTCCTGCAGCGGTCATGGAACAGTCCCATTGGCATCAAGACCGTCCATTTCTGGTAAGCTATGTCATTGAATGCAAGATATGCATATTCGCACATATGGTCCAATTCGCTAATTGACGTTGTTTTTCTCTATAGGGCTCCTGTTATGAAGGTTCGTTCGTTGAATAGTCGCATTGCCTAACCCCGACCATGATATATATATAATACCGATAACAAACGGCTGCAGTTGATGCTAACCAGTGGATCCCTTTGCAGTGGATTCTCGTTCTAGCTGGTCTCTCTGACATGGCCCGGCCTGCCGAGAAGCTCTCCCTGACTCAAAACGCTGCCCTAATGGCAACCGGAGCAATCTGGACCAGATGGTGTCTTATCATCAAGCCCAGAAACGTCCTGTAAGTGTTTGCCTTTAAGCCTCCTATTGTTAAGGTAAATTGCTAACATGTTGGAATGCAGCCTTGCTACCGTCAACTTCTTCGTTGGCTGCGTTGGTTTCACACAGGTTACCCGTATCTTCCTGTATAGACGGTCCCAGGACGGCTCGGCTAAGGAGGCTGTCAAGGACCTGGCCCACGAAGCCACAGACTCTGCCAAAGCCGCTGTTCACAAGGCAGAGGAAGCTGTGAAAAAGCACTAGGTGCATTAGATGGGGCTTGCTGGATGGCTACCAACTAGACTTGACATTCTTTTGCAACTTCGGCAATATTGTACACAGAACTCATATTGCGATGCATCCCTGTGTGTCTCCTTTGTTCTCTTCTTTCATTGGGTGCATATATTATGTCATACAGCTTCTCTTTCTTTATACACAGGATTGTTCTTCCATAGTTGGCATTTGATGTTGGACTTATTATGTACGCTGAATATATAAACTGTTTAATTCTTTGAAGTCAGTTATCTTGATTTTGGCGTATATAGAAGGGAGCCCATGGCTGCAGCGGCATTTCATCTAAGAGGTATAAACATGGAAGGCATCAAATAGTAAACAAGGGGTAAAAAGGATGTGTACAGGCAAAGGGGGTAGAAGGGTAAAGGTGAGGGCCAAACAGGCATATATAAGAACCAAATATATCAGCAAGAAGATATCACAAGAAGAAGAAGAAGATCACAACGCCAGCCCCAAAGACCAAGATTAGTACAGATAAACCGCCAACAAAACATGACATGCATCAAGCAAAACAAAAAATAAAGGGAGATATCCGCCAGGTTTCATAATCTTCTCTTCATGACTTCATCAGTGTTTATGTTTCATTCCCGATGTCAGCACTGGAGACGCGAGCACCCGCTCCCAGTCATGCAACATCTCGGTATTGACAGTCGACAGCCTGACCTCAGTTCCGGCTCTGGCAATCATCTCGTCCTCGTACGCTGATATCGAGGTAGCCTGGGATGAGAGGCCGGATACCGCGTCCGTGACAGCATTTACAAGCTTCGCGGCGTCAGTGACGGAGTGGTTGAGCCCCTGGCCGCGCTGATATGTCATGGCATGAGCAGCATCGCCAGCGAGCGTCACTCTGCCTCCGTGGTTGTTCCAGTAATGGCCATCTGAGCCTGGGTCGAAATCAGTCAGACCCATGTACCACACCTGGTGGTCGTCGGGTATCCATTCAAACGCGCTCTTCCAGGGGTCGCAGAAGTCTTTGGCGAAGGACTTGACCTGGTCGAGACGCTGCTTGTTGGACCAGGAGGAGGTCCGGTCTTGTTCTTCCAGGCTGTATTTCCACGAGATATAGAAGAAGAACGTCCATGTCTCGGGCCTGTCTGGGTCCTCGGCGTCGTGCATGCCGAAGAACGAGAAGTACCCGGAGGGATGGATGCCAGCGATATAGAGAGGATGAAAGCTGCGGAGATACAGGGCCTGCTCGGCTGTGAATCTGGCATGCACAAAAGTTGCTGCGTACGGCAGACGCCGTATGGCGCCTCTTTTCTTGCCGAGCAGGAGCTGGCGGGCGGTTGAACGGGCCCCGTCAGCAGCAATGACGAACTGGCCGGTGGAAGAGGTGCCGTCTTCAAAGTGAACCGTGGCCGTCCGGCCATCCCTCGACATCGTTATGTCCTTGAGAGCCTTGTTGTACTGGATATCCAGGTCGTCGTCGAGCAAGGACCGCAGCTTGCTACGACGTAGGCGGTAGAACTTGGAGACATGCACTTCTGACATGAGCTCTCCGTTGCTGGAGTTGATGAATTTCAGCACGTCCTTTTCCGGTACCGGCTTGCTCGGGTCGACATGGACAGTCTCAATCTGGTCCCATAGTTCACAGCTGAGGACTCCCTGTAGGGCTACGGCGCCCCAATGGAGGCCCATATTCCAGTCCCTCGGTAATGCATTGAGGCTCTTGTGCTTCTCAAATATGGTGCATGCAATTCCGGCCTGCCATCAAGAGTTAACTAATGACACAATTCTAAACCCGTCCGGGGCTGAAAACGGCCTCTTCTCTCACCTTCTTGAATCCTTGAGCTAGTGCAAGTCCTGTGGTACCTAGATCCAAGGGAGCTATGTCAATAAAATTATGCGTCATGGAGGGGGACCATATTCAATATCCCAATAGTATGAGACACAGGAAGGAGGCTCCATCCTTACCGGCTCCAATGATCAGAACAGTGGCGAAGGCCCCCGAGACAACGGGAAGATTCCTATCTTCCATAACGGACAAATACTCTCCCATCTCTGAGGCACATCAGACCGCCCTTGGGATGTTTGTTTGACAGAACTAGATCATGGAACAGGAAGAAGAAGATGATGAACCGAAGGGTTAAAAAAACGCCCAAAACCAGAGGCACAAAATCCCAATCCCATGGCACCCTGAGTGGAGATATTCCCTTCCCAAGGGACTGCTTCCGTGTTACTTCCCGCCCATGACGAACGTGAGGCAACTCTAAGCAGAAGAAATCAAGAAGGGAGATTGGCAGCAAGAGAAGGGGTGTGGATACAGTTGGTCGTATTATTATTTTTCTTGCAAGCCATGCGCAAGAACGAGAACCCTAAGCCATGGGACCCCCCCTGAGGAAGCGAATAACAAAAAGGCCATCATGCAAGATGCCAACCTGGTGAGCCTATGGCCAAGCAAGAAAAATAACACGCTGGCAGGCGAGTGAAGCGAGGGGGACCGCCAAAGTGTGGATATCATCCCATCTTCTTAAGACCTGCACTATGGCTTTGCTCTGATTCTTCAGATCAACCCTTGAACTTGGGCCCTGTCCGGCCCAAGAAACCTTATACAGCCAGCAGAAAGACTGTCTATCAGGAGCCCAGGTCCTGTTTGCAATGCTCCGTTATAGTCGGACGGCTCAGACATGGCAATATAGGACAGAGATGCTGCTGATGCTGGGGGGTGGAAAGGGGGCCACAGCAAGCAACAGCTGGCCTGCTGTGCAATCCTCCCTCGAAGGCAAAATGGGAGAGCGGAAGTCGGCGGTGCTTGATATCCTCCCTATGTCTTTGCCTTCGTATCACCAAAACCGACAACCGCCATACTGGACCACATCTGCCCACCCCCCTTCCAAACGGCAGCGATAGAGTTGACGGGGACAAGGATAACTAACCCAGGGCTGCAGAACACGCATGAAAAGGAATATGCTGTGCCACTGGACATGCTGATAGGCCTTCCCGCTGGCCTGTACGGGGGGGGGTTTTGAGAGGCGATCAACACGAGCCTGGCTGTGGACAGCAAGCAAATATGGGGATGGAATAATGCTGCGTGATCAGTGGTTATCGGCCTCGGGGATACTTCAGGAATCTCCGATTTGGCCACCACTGGCCGCCAGGCGGATCGAGTCATACTAGTGCCTTTCACCGAGATATCCACGGCTTGCCCTAGTGTTAGGACCTGATGGTATCGACCGGGATGATGGCCTATTTTTTTCCTGCATGGCTCGGTGGGTTTGGCTGGCTTGTGGACTAAACCATAGCGTTTTGATCTCTCGCATTTTTCCCTTCAACGACGGCCACCAAGCAAGCCAACCATCTCGTGTGATGCTGAGAGGACGACGCTGAAGACGACGCAGAGAGAGACGACGCAGCAGCACCAGCACCAGCACCGGCAGCCGCAGCCGCACAGCAAACAAGGATCGCCATCCGCTACTCTATCCTCCTCTTACATTCGAGGGCTAACCTCCATTGTTCTTTGCAAACCTTTTTTTTTTATTTTTCTTTTCGTCTCTTCCGCCGTCTCCTCCGCGCTGGCTGGTGGTAGGGGGGAACAAACAAAAAACCAAGAAACGCCAGGCTTACGAGTGGCTCGCCTGGATCTTCCTCTGCCTTTCTTTGATACATAGACACCATCCTCTGTTACTGCTCCCGATGGTCGTCTGAAGCCAGCAGGACGACGCAGACGCAGCACGAAGAACCGCCTGTCGAGGGTGCCAGGATAAGGAGACGCAGCAGAGCGATGGATTCACAACATCGCCAGCAGCCGCTTGGCGGCAGCAGACAGCCGCCGCAGGGCCAGCATCACCAGCATCACCAACATCACCAACATCACCAACATCACCAACATCACCAACATCACCAGCAGCAGCAGCAGTATCATTATCAGCAGGGCTACTACTACCCGCCGCCGTATCAGCATTACCAGCAGCAGCCGCCGGAGGAAGAGGAAGAGGAAGAAGAAGAGGAGCAGCAGCAACAGCGACAGCAGCAGCAACAACAACAACAACCGGAGCAGCAGGAGGAGCAGCAACAGGAGCAACAGGCGCCGCCGTCTGGGGATGATGGCCGGCCGGCCTCGTCTGATGCGCCGTCGCCGCAAGCCGCGGACTCGAGCAGCGACGACGGGCTAGACGAGGCCTATGCCGACTCGACGGGCGAAGGGGAGATGATGGGCGACGATACCAAGACGCTGTCGACGTACATCACCAGATATCGCTATGAGAACGGCCGGCGGTACCACTCCTATCGCGATGGAGCCTACTGGGTAGGTCTAGGTCGCCTTGCCAATTTGTGTCTTCCCCAGTCGATCGATGGTCGAGATATTAATCAGAGACGGTAGGGACCGAACGATGAGATTGCAAACGACCAGCAGGACCTCGCGCACCACATGTACCTCTTGACCCTGGACGGCAAGCTGCATCTTGCGCCCATCTCCAACCCCCAGGTAACCACCCTTCCAACCCTTCCAACACTTAGGAATGAACCAGGGCTTCTCTGCAGGCCGTCGCACTGCAGCATCAGCATCCCCATGCTAACCGTCCGTCTCGCCCCGAGCAGGAAATCTTAGACGTTGGCACTGGCACCGGAATATGGGCCATGTATGTCATCAATCCACATCTCATCGTCTACCTCTACGCTTAGATGTATGTTCCCCGCAAGTGGTGTGTACTGACAGCCCGCAGAGATATAGCCGACGAGTATCCGAGTGCAAAGGTCACTGGCGTCGACCTGTCGCCCATCCAGCCCAGCTTTCTGCCTCCCAACTGCACCTTTGAAGTAGATGATGTCACCCTCTGCCCCTGGACATACCCCCAGAACCACTTTGACTTCATACATGTCCGGGAGATGTTCGGCTGCATCCCGGACTGGGATGAGTTCTTTCAGCAGTGCTACCAGTGCCTCAAGCCCGGCGGATACATCGAGATGGTCGAGCACTCCGTCGAACCAACCTCGGACGACGGCTCCGTCGGGCCTTCGCACTTTTACACCCTGTGGGGGAAGACCGTCGTCGAAGCCGGCGCCACCTTTGGCAAATCCTTTACCATATGGAAGGAGAGCAAGGAGCGCCTCAAAAGAGCAGGTTTCGTCGACGTCGTCGAGGTCGAATACAAGTGGCCTATGAATGGGTTAGTCCTACCTCTGCACCCTGTTTTAATGTACTAATATACATACTAACTACCACGAATAGATGGAGTAAAGATCCTAAACTACGGGAACTTGGCCGTTGGAACCAAGTGCGACTACACGGTGGTGTGGAGGGATACATGCTCCGGCTCCTCACCACAGCTTTAAGATGGCCGTACGAAGAAGCACAGCTCTTCCTTGCCCAAATGCGTACCACTCTCCGGGACTATAAGACAAACGCATATCTACCAGGAACAATAGTATATGCCCGAAAGCCCACGGACGAGTCGTGATAACCACCCGCTCAGAAGCTCACCATTGCTTTCTTGCACCTCCCTACCCTTCTTCTTCTTCTCTCTCTCACCATCCCCTTCCTATCTCCCCCTGCCGACTATAGTTGTCGACATGGCATCCTAATATCTCATTCATCTTTCAATTTCAAAAAGCATGTTTTCATTTCACACTTGCTTGAAGCAATGGGAAACTCGCCTCTGGTTGATGCCAACTCCCCACCTTTTCTCCCTCCATACATTCAATACATATATAACTACTCCTTTACCTTGCCCCCCGTTCAGAGAGCGGCCACCTTACTTTCTTTGCTTTCCCCCCTCCCCCTCCTTACTTCCCTTTTCTTCTATGTTTGCTTCTCCTTTTTATCATAGCGTATACACTTTCGCGCCAGACTGCAATCAGTCTGGACAGCAACCCAGGGACGGGGGCGGAGGGTGTTGGTTCAGGGGCGGTTATCATCCTTGAATGCGTTCATTGTACATATCTCCAAGATATTTTCGATATACCCTTTTCCTTTTTCTCTCGTTTTGTTGCTTTGCGGTTCCCCCCCCCCTGGTCCCTCCCTATTGACGTGATTTATATTACGGTTGCTTTTAGCCCGTTAATGTCTGCTATTATTACCTTACTCTTATCCAACGATAATGGAAATCAGTTACTTTTCCGACAAACCCCCTGCTCACGCTGCCTTGGTACGCATGCAACAACCCCGTATGCATGGCCGTTGAGGTGCAAGTACTTACACGCCCAATCATCCCGTCCCAACAGCAGCCCTGTCCAGACATCGCAGCAGCAAGCCATGCACTGTCAGACCAGTACTTCTTGTACCATGCGAATGCAAATGCGAATGCCATGTAGCCGAGGCCGACAACCCCCAAGGATGGAAATGCAGCCGTGGACGTCTTCCTATTTGCATGCTTTTGCTCCGTCCGCCAGGCCGTGCCGGTACTTATATGCATGCACGCATTTCCTGTTTCTCATGTACGAACGTGCATGCACGTCTCACAATGTGCGTGTGATGATGCATCTTGCCCGCCCGGCCCGGCCATCCATCCATCCAGTCGCTAAATGTTGGATTCCGCAGGTCTTCTCGAACAGCGGCTTTGCCCTCTTGTGGCGTTGGCGCCGATGCATCTAGTTATGTATCTCGGTGGTTTAACGTAGGACACTTTGCTGCAGGGATGCCGCCTCCTGAGTCGCTCGCCGACTATCTATCTCTAACCGCCAGCTCTTAGCACCTGGATCCGGCCGTTTTCCCCGGCAGACCTGCGAATCTCGCTTGCAGTCGCATGTCCAACAGAAGAAGAGCAAAGGGCCTGTCTCCTGGAGCCAGCTGGTCGACTATCTATCCCGAACTAATACTGCTTGGAGTTATGTCCTACCCACGCCCTTCTGGTATATAACTAGTTATATTGTATCATATTATAGGCATGGGATCGACAAAGTCAGCGCTTGCTAGCTAGGTAGCAGCCAGCAAAAGTGTTAGCTACTTTTGCATTCTCTAGCTAGACACTGCCCATTATCAGTGCAAGTTTTGAGTATAACCCCATTCTACCATTATCTGACGGGAAGGGATTCCATATTCTGGTTAAGGGTGATTTTTTCAAAGACGCCGTCCGAAGCGCTGGTTTTGAGGATGAGAGTCTTGTGGAAACAGCCTGGATCTAGATGCAATATAGATGCGATACGCCCTCAGCTCGCAGTACTTGAACCGAAGGTCGGTATACTTTCCTACATCAACTTTCGATCAGCAGCACAAGATAGTTAATCCCCCATTTGCAGGTTTGAACCACCTCCTGTCAATATAAGGCTAATATGCAGACTTGAGACTGCCGGTGCCGAAGCCCTCGGGATGGGATTGATGTTAAAGATTATAACCTAACCCCATGTTAGAGCTTGAAGTATAGCTCGAATTGAAAGCAGAGATTAGCAAGAGAGACTTTTCCTCTCCCTTTATACATTATATTGTACCTAGAGAAATCCAAAATCTAGAGACAAACACACCAACATCACTGGAGAGGAAGGTAAGGCTTGCCCTGCTACCTGTCCCATCACAGCTAGGGCTCGTAGCAGTCTATGCGAATGAGAAGGCCGTTCCGCTACCTATATGTCCAGCGTAATATATCAGAAAAGGCACGTAGTAAGGCCTAAGCATAGGCACAGAGTGCGTGCCGTCCTCACATCCAGCATATGCGTATGATGAATCTCCAGCCCTAAGGGGGTGGTGAGGGCGGTGAGTGGCAGCAGAACCCGCGACGGCCAAACGCGTCTCCTTTAGGCGAAGAAGAAAGCGCACACTGAATCTTCCTCTTCCTCTTCCTTTCTCCTTCGTCCTCAGCAGCAACGACACCAGCAACAATAACAGCAACAACAACAGTAACAGCAACAGCAATAACAGAAGCAACAGCAAGCAACAGCAACAACAAGAAAATGGCTGACAACAGCACCGGGGCGAATCCAGGGGCGGCGTGGCCCGCGCTCATCTCCCTCAACTTTGAGGGGATTGCCCTACTTGGGGGCCCTGCGATAGTATGGATCATTTTCTGGCTTGGCTGCTGTTTTGGCCCGTGGGCCAGAAATCTGTCTGGAGCAACCGCCTCTGCCATGTAATTGATAACCCTCCAAAAGAAGCTTGATATGACACTGACGTTCGATTAGCTGTCATTGGACAGGCTACCACTGCCACTGCCACTGCCACACCCACTCCTCCGACTCCTCCGACTCCTCCCCCCCTTCAACCTCCTCCGACTCTCTTCCTCCTCCTTCCCCCCCAAAAAACACGCGCGCCGCCCCCATCTGCCGCCGCTGTCGTCGCTGTCGTCGCTGCCGCCGCTTCCGCTCGCGGAAGACGGAGGCAGATAAAGTAAGAGAGGAGGCGCAAAAGGTCGATAAGGAAATTAAGAACTAGAGGAAGTGATGTAAGTAAAGCCAAACCAGCTCTATATTGGTCCAAAATGTGGTGTACTAATAGTTGATACTTTATATTGTAGTACCTTTCTTTCTTCATTTTTTCTTCCCGCTTTTATATTTTTTTTTTATTTTTTATTTTTTAGGAAAAATAAAAAAGATTTTTTCCCCCAGAGAAATAGAGAGAGAAGCAGTTACGTGCTCTTCTTCATCCTTACCGTAGACCCGAGATTATTGGTCTGTCAATAACAATGTAGGTCCAAGGGCTCAGGAGGATGATAGTTGGCATATTGCTAAGGGGGAAGGTGGGTTAAGGGTTAACAGCAAGTAGAGAAGAGGGGAATAGGTAGATATCAGCTAAGTTAAGGGTATATATTAAGGAGAGTAATAGATATAAATCAATAGGGTATATTTACTCTAACCTCAGGGGGGTATATTCGGACTACCAGGGGTATTTAAGGTATTATCTAGGCCAGGACCAAAGGCTAATGTAGGGTACTTGGCTGTCCTTACTCCGAGAAGTCCAGCTAGGACTGTGGTTAGAAGTAGATAGAGGCTTGATATTGGCATGTCGAAGGAGGAAAAAGTTGTGTTGTTAAAAAGATGTAAAGACGTTGGTGGAAAGTGGAAATTAAGTTATGTGAACATCCACGTGACGTCTAGACACGTGATGGCACTAGGGCCCGGGGCCCGGGGAAGGCGAGAGCGTTGTTCAACAGCCACCTACATAATAATGAATGGCGAGGATAATAATCATGGGCGAGGTGTATATTGTTGTAGAGACACACAATTGCGTGTTTCCCAGGGCTGTCGCAGAATACAAACACTGCCTCATCCCGTTACCAGACAGCCTTGCAGCACCTCCGCTGAACGGGACAACAACGGCCTCCTCAAAAATCCAATCTGAAAATGGGCTCACTCTGAAAGTTTAGCAGTTGTAGTTATCTCAACTAGAACACTCTGGCGTAAGACACTCCCACCGGCCGTTACTACTACGGTTGGAGGGCCAACCCCCATATAAGTCGGAGGAATGCCTAGCATAATTAGGTATCAAAGTCTGCCACTATACTAAAAGGAGTGAGCCCACACTAATAGTAGGCAGAGCTGGAGTTTGACAAAACGCAAGTTATTTATGGCTTTTGTTGGCTTGTCCACTGGACACAGCCGAGCCAGGGACAAGAAACAAGTGAAGGAAGGAAGTGAAGGAGCTTTGTTGATGAAATCCATGGGAGGATGTCATAGCAGTCACTGTTAGTAGGTAGCTCACTGGATATAAAGGCTCCCATATCCCTCTAGATCCGACATTAATTATCAAGATGCCCTCGACTCGAAGAGCGTGCGATAACTACTTGTTCCTTCAGACATAAACTACTGTTCTCACCACACAAGAGCCAGAAGATGGACTCGGCTCTCGGGGAGGAGGATGCCACTTTATATACTCCGCAACAGGGCAGCGATATCGCTCGGTTGATTGGACGTGTTATCGAGCTTTCTCCAATGAAATTCATAATTCAGGTGGATGAAAAAGGACCCCTGGAACCTTACAAATACCCGGGGATGACAGGAATGAAGTCCGCAGTCCCTGCGCGAGCGTATGAGCTTGCCGACCAGGGACTCAAGCGACTATATGGATTAGAGAGTGAGTAGAGATCCCGTTTACAGTGAGAAGTCACCGCCCGAGCCGTTCATAACGAAGACAATTTCCTTGTGCTAATGCCTATAGGGATTGGCAAGAGTGCCATTTATCTTTATTGGTGCCCTCTTTACCCTAAGTCGCGTCACTATTATTATTACCCCATTTATCTCTGCGCCAGAATCAACTGTCTAGAGCCCGCGAGGCAGGCATATCATCTACTATATGGTTGAATTACACTGAGGTGAAACGATCAGCTGCGATATTTGCCACACCCGAGGCCGCCAATTTATACTGCTTTATAGCATGGGCAAAGGCCCTAAAGGCACAGGGCCATTTGGCGAGAGTTATACTGGACGAATGCCATGTCTACATATATGATATCAAATGGAGGGAGCAGCTTACGAACATGACATGGCTAAAAGCGCTAGATATCCCACTGATATTACTTAGTGGTAGTCTGCCGCCATCAGACGAAGCTCCGCTAAAGGCGAATATCGGATATAAGGATATTACTTGCCTGCGGATGTCTTGTCGGAGAGTAAATATTACTAGACAAGTGGTGATATGTTGCTCTAGCTCACAAGCTATCGAGGAGTTAAAACGTTGTGTAAATGATGGTACGATCATTTATGCTTTGAGTATAAGTGTTGCAAACGAGTTGGGCCGACGCTTTTCATGGCCCGTGTACCATCGGGGTATTAACCCCGAGGACCGCCAGAATATTATACACGGGCTTACTGAAGGTACTATTAAAGCGGTGGTTGCAACATAGGGCCTGGGAACAGGCCTCGACTTTCAACACATCAATATCACCATATAGGGACAGTGCATGGTCAGATTTTGTATTAGTCAGCTACATCTCGCTTGGTTATCAGGCCTCACACATTTGATAGAGCTCAATATCATCATCATCCTTTTGCTATCTATAATTCATAGGTAGTTATGATGATTTTACTTGTACCGCTTCTTAGGTTAGTCAGAACCACGAACAAGCTTTAGTTTTTCCAGACATGGGCCAGCTGGCCCCCAGTGGCTGTTTAAAGTGTTTTGCGTCATCCAAATGCAAGGAATATGACGATAGTTAACTACCCTGACGCAAGGTTTATTAAAGGGCAAACTACACCTCTTCTTCCCCTTCGCTGCTTTCTTTTTTAGTCCGCGTGATATCTCGGAAGAAAATATTGACATGCCCTATATCTTTCACCTAGTCTTCAATCTTTGCATCCTGGGCATCTTCATAAACTCCCAAAATGGAGATTGAAGGCCTGTTACAGTTTGCTCGCAACCACGTTCTACTCTTTGCTGGCGGCTGCATCATACTTATATTATTGAGCACCAGCATGAATTTCGAACAGTTATTTGACCGTATGCACATGTATGAGATTTCTAACAAGATTCGGCAGAAAAAGATAGCTATCCAGCCCAAGAATGAGCGTGAGAAAGATTGTGACTGGCTTGTTGAACGTCTCTATTTGGTTCAGAGACTCCATAAATGGAGGCAACGCCAAATATTCCTGAGAGAAATAATAATCGAATATATTACGCAAGGAAAAATTGATAAAATTTCTAATCTAGATAACTGGGGGCCTAGAGACTGGCAACACAAGTTATCAAATGAGGCTAATGAGGCCTGGGCTCTTACAAATGAATGGCATGACCTTCATCAACGCAAGCCTAAGGGCCCTAGGGTAAGGCTACGTGATAATTATATCTCCCAGATTTATAAAACTCTCCTGGATAACCCGACCAAACACCTTTCTCAGCAGTCTCTAGTAGAGGCATGCGAGGCGCGGGGTGGTTGCTGTGCAAGGGCATGTCAGTGCTGTATGAGACCACGAGGCCAATACCCTAATAAAAGACTATACTACGCCCACTGCACGCTATTCTGCGGATGTTGTGTCCGGAGTCGAGGATTCGTACTACATAAAGAAGAACAGTGCAAAGATTGTGGAGAGCTCAGCGATGATTGTGAAGGGCTCAGCGATATTTCAGATACGCCTTTCCCTATTGAAGGCAGTGGATGGTTCAAAGTATTGTAGGCAAACTTAGCCTTAAAGAGGATCGGCTGTCCTATCCACTGCAACTGCCTATGCTGGGACGGCGGCCACGGGGGAGGCTAAGATAACTGATTACCTAGTGAACCTGGTTCAAGGGGATGGAATGAAGAAGTGGACCATCTTGCTACAGGGGCACCTGAAGAGGTGCACAGTTGATATTCTCCTTTGAATCAAATGGTGACTTCTTTGTATCTGGAAATTGCCGAAGACGGCCTTGATCCAGCGATGCCAGCATTCACTGAATGCAGCCTACAATGGACACAGGCAGAGCACAACCAAATCAAAATCCCAATTTTTGCATCCTTCATCTAGTCCTCCTTTCTTCATACCTGCTGTTTTTTTTCTTTTCTATCGACCTTGCATACCTCTTGATCCTTGAAAGATGCGGATATTGGCGTCTCTCACCCTTTTGCCGGCCGTACTGGCTGCAGACATCAAAGTCGAGATGCTCTACCAGCGTGTAATGGCTGTGACAATGACAACGACCAAGTCAGCTCCTCCGACAGAGTGTACCTATACTCCGCCGCCTAGGAACTGCGAGAGGGCCTGTGGAGTGGGAAACGTCCCCTGTGTAAACGAGACCAGGTGCTACAATCCATATATAGGGGAAGTTTGCTGTATGGACGGGAGTATGTCACTTTGCTTTGATTTTGATCTCATATTTCCCTTTCTTCTTACTTTCTTTTATACCCAGTGTCATTCATTTTTTTTGCTGTTTATGATATCGTGGCTCTAGATAAGCTGACCTGGACATAGGTTATTGTCCCCAAGATACGTACTGCATCGATACCGGGTGCTGTCCGATAGAATATACACTCAAGCAATGCGGTGGACATGAAGTCCGAAACTATGACCCTCCTCCAGGGGAAGACAGTTCAACTACAAGGAAACTCTCTTCCACGTCTACATCTGAACCCATCACCTCGTCGTCTACGAACTCTGCCGTAACATCATCCGGTAGCGCCCAACCTTCCAACCCAAGTGGCTCCAATGACAAAGACGGCAACGGGGCATCGAAAAAAGTCAGTGCTATCATTGGAGGTGTGGTGGGTGCTCTTGCAATTGTAGGAGCAGTGGTCGTTGGGGTTGTATGGTTAATACTTCGATCAAGGGCAAAGGAAAAAGCTGCCTGTGCGGCTGCTGCAGAAGGAGGTGCGGATAATGGAATGGAATTCAAAGCACAACTACCATATGGAAGCGGCGAACCAAGACAAACGGCTTCGAGGTCAGTAATGGGATATTACGCACCTTCTACTCTTGGCCCCACAGAGGCTACATCGAGCACTCCATTTTATAATATGTCTACGCCTAGGAGGGTGACAGAATTGGATGCCGAAGGGATATATCACATAAATCCGACATCTAGCTCGGTTGCGGATGACGTTATAAGTCCTTCGAGTGAAGGGCAGTTGTCCAAGGATACCAAATAGCTGGTTATTGCTTATTTATTTACATTTAGTCATTGATGCTGCTTTGATATACCTCTTTACCATGTTAATTGCTTCTGATGATATTCATCAATATAAAAACGGTTACTATTCCATATCTAAACTTAGTATGTTAGAATTCCCAAGGCGGTCTTCAGGTTATACATGTTAAAAACAAAACAGTAACTAGTAGAATTGCTCATTTCATACAGCGCGTTCAAAATGTTAGGGTTTATTTACATTATGGAAAGCTTCAACTTCGTATGCCATACCGTCTCTAAAGAGAAATAAAGATGTCGTTTCGCTTATATTAAATCAAAGCTTGACAGCTGGGCCGGGAGCAGAAATCTCATTGTACAACAGCCTATGGATAAGGGTTAGTAATGCTTGAATGGAATAACATGTCTACATTGACGACTTACGTGGTCAAGAAATCAGCATAGTCCTCTCCAGTAACCTGACCGGAGAAGTAGCGGGCAGCGAGCTGGTACTTGTTGCCTTTTGGGCCCTTGGCAGAAAGTTCATCAGCTTGCTCCTTCAGCAGCTTGAGTGCATATGCCTTGTCAACTCTCTTTCCCTCGGCGGTGGGAACATTGTGCTTGGCCCACTGCCAGAGCTGACTTCGGCTAACTTCAGCAGTAGCAGCGTCCTCCTATGGTGAAGCGGGTTAGTAATGGGTTGCGTTAACAATACTGAGATGTATGACGAACCATTAGGAAGTTGATTGGGATACAGCCGACTCCACGGAGCCATCCCTCCATGTAAGAAAGGCCAATGTTCAGGTTCTTCCTGATGCCAGACTCGGTGATGTTTCCTGGAACGTTGGTGTTCAAGAGATCGTTGGCGGTGACGTGGACATCCTCTCGTCGGACGAAGAGCTGGTTAGGGGTGGGCATGTATTCGTTAAAGACGTTGGATGCAATGGATGCAAGAGCTGGGTGGGCAACCCAGGTTCCGTCGTGGCCAGCACGGACTTCACGGAGCTTATCGGCACGAACGCTCTCCATGGCAATGTCATTTGCCTTGGTGTCATTTTTGATAGGGATTTGAGCGGCCATACCACCCTATTTTGAGATCTTAGCACTGTATATAGAAATCATGCATGGGTGAGAAAGGCCTAAGCTTACCATGGCGTGAACACCTCGCTTGTGGCAGGTCTTGATCAACAGTCTCACGTATGCATCCATGAAAGGTACGGTCATGGTGACAGAGGCGCGGTCGGGAAGGACAAAGTTGGGGTTGTTACGGAACTTCTTAATGAAGGAGAAGATGTAATCCCATCGTCCACAGTTCAAGCCAGAGCTGTGGTCTCTCAATTCATAAATGATCTCGTCCATCTCAAAGGCGGCAGTGATGGTTTCAATGAGGACGGTACCTCGGATAGTGCCTCGAGGCATACCGATGTAGTCCTGAGCGGTGTTGAAGACATCGTTCCACAGACGGGCTTCCAAGTGAGATTCCATCTTGGGCAAGTAGAAGTATGGGCCAGCGCCTCGCTTAACAAGCTCCTGGGCATTGTGGAAGAAGTACAGACCAAAGTCAAACAAACTGCCGGAGATTGGTTCTCCATCAACAGTGAAATGCTTCTCATCAAGGTGCCAGCCTCTAGCACGGGCAATGAGTGTGGGGAGCTTCCTATCGGTGCGGAGTTTGTACTCCTTGCCGCCGAGGGTGAAGTCTACCTGACGGCGGATGGCATCGTAAAGGTTCACCTGACCATTGACCATGTTCTCCCATGTTGGAGCAGATGAGTCTGTAACGTTTATGCATTAATTATCCATATTTGTCAGAACTAGTTGCTTGTGTAAACAATACGGCCTTCGGGGAACTCCGCTCACCTTCAAAGTCAGCCATGTAGGTCCAAACATCGGCATTCAAGGCATTAACAACCATCTTCCTGTCGGTTGGGCCGGTGATCTCAACACGACGATCAACAAGTCCCGGTGCCGGGGGAGCAGCCTTCCATGTATCATTGTCGCGGATGTGCTTAGTCTCAGGCAGGAAATCGAGAAGGGCGCCTCTATCAATTTCGGCCTGGCGGTCAATACGTCTCTTCAACAGGGCCTTGCGGGTGCCATTAAATGTGCGATGAAGGAGGGCGAGGAAAGCTGTGGCCTCCTTGGTCAGGATCTTGCGAGTCTGGTCGTTGAGGGGCCCGAGGATGGCAACACCCCTGAGCTGAGCTTCCACCGAGGTCATCTTGCGTTGGTGCTAGAGTGACGTCAACTTTGTAGATGGTATATGGATGTATCACAGCAGCCGGTATCGAAGTTGATGTTATAGCAAAGTCCGGAGGAGACAAAAGGGCGATGCCCGAAGGACTATAGGAGGGTTTATATATACACGACAGCATCAAACGGCCACCCAAAGCCGCGGCACATGTTAAACTGGAGTCTTGCTTCTGTATGGGAACCAGCTCCAGTTAGTCTCACTACTTTTGCCCGCATAGCCAGTAACTTGAGTTTCCCTCGGAACCCAGCCGACACTGGCTATGTGTTATGGTGACACAGTAATAGCCATCGACTCACCTTCACGGCACCAGACGCCGAACGACCAGGAAATACGGCCAAGGGAGAAGACTCATGCTAGACAACTCGGACGAGATATCTTATCTACTAGATTTACTATGTCAGAACGGGAATCCGGGGCAGCTATTGGAGGCATAGTTACATAGTACACATTCCATCTAGACCATCGAAGCCACCGTTAGAGTAACCATCTCGGCCGATTTTTCCGACTGCCCAGAAGGTGTCATGTTCTCGCCCCATATCCCGGGGGCATTATCGCGTAGGCAGAGCTGATTTCCTGCGGACATTTATCGTCAACTTGGTTTGCTCGGAGCCCTCCCGCAGCCACAACAAGCTCATCCATCAGGGTTGTACAACGTCATCTGTACGCCCTATCAAGCGACATGAACCCGAGATCTCTGCAGTTCACACATCTTCTCTCCGCTTATGTATGTCTAACGCTCATGTTAATGTCTGATATCTGCAGTTTCTTTGCAATATCGGCCTCGTTCGTCTTCTTTTCTTCATTCTTGCTTTCGCGACGTCGCTTTTTGCCTTTTCCAGAAGCAAAAAAAGAAGCCGAGGCTCAGCACAGGCCTTGCTGACTCATCTTTCAGACACGTGATTCTTCCCCCGGTTTTCGTTTTTTTCTCAAAAGGGAAACGGACAACTTCCGGCTTTTTTTCTTTTATTTGGTATTATTATTAACGACGACGACGACGACGACGACAGAGGTTGAGAGATATCGGGAGATACCTGACGAGATGAAGAGATGAAGAAGCGTCGTGGTCTCATTACATATGTACAAGCTAACAACCCTGCATCTGGCAGCACAGAAGAAGCAACAAATATGGATACCCGAAAAGAAATTTTGGTTCGAGTCAAAGAAGTCCAACAAATAACAGATTACCCCCGGGTTGAATTAGAAAGGATGTTTAGGTATACTGCCAGGCAGCGGGAGTGGTACCCTTATACTCCTTTGCAACTCCAACGAACTCGACACACTTCTTAACGTCTCCACCAGGGACCATGGCGTTCTTGATGTTGGCGAAAACCTGGTAGTACTTCGAGTCTGGGACGGGGCAAGCCATCAGCGCAGTGGCACCCCAGCCGCCGAAGTAGAAGCTGCCGGATTTCTTGTTGAGAGGCTTGTAGGCAAAGCCGCCGACGTATGATCCTGGTGGAATGGCCGCGGAGTGTGCCTGGGTGAAGCCGAGCTTTCCGCTGGGCTCGACGTACATCTGCTGGCCACCGGGGACAAGCACGCTCTATATTCAATTGTCAGTAGTGCCAATTGAGAGAATTGCATTGGAACTTCGCTCGTGAAAGATTAGAGCTTACCATGCTGTTCAGTCCAAGGATGACGGTAGCGTTTCCTGGTGGGCAGTTGTCACCGACGATTTCTGGGCAGTAAGTTGCTGGAGAGCCACCTAGCCAGAAGGCCCGGCCGGCAGCCTGCATGGGCAGCTTGTCGACATTCTCTCGGCCTGGGTGTCGTGCGGTGACTTCAATGTTGGCCGGGGGGTCTGTTGGGAGATAGGGGCTCGCAAGGGCGAGGAGAGGGAGGACGAATGCAGTGATCAAAGATGCCTTCATCTTGTCTGGATTGTGAACTCCTTTTGTCTCTTTTGGCCAAAAGGTATGTGAAGAAAGTATGTAGCGAGCGTCTGGTTTTCTGGGGACAGAGATTTTTTTCCTTCAAGAGCGCAGACAAGGGGGTAGATTATATAGTCGATCCATATATCTCTCATCGTATATAAAGGCATATGCAGCGCCCATGTCCCTCGTATCCACTACGTACATTCATTTTTTTACAACCATCCTGCCAGTGTGTTATCTCCATCTGTACTTGCGGAGGACCCAATAGGCAGAGAGCGCATCTGCAGACTGCCGCTGTTCGTGGCAATGGAGGACCGAAAACTGAAACATCGCCGACCCGTTCTTGAGCTGCTTAGCAGTTTAGCACGGTGGAGATACCGCAGTGGCAGGGAAGAGAGGCTGATAACTAGTACGATGGGAGTGGATCTCGCTGCGATTTCCCTCGCCCTCGAAATCCTGATATACTGCTCTATCCGGCGGTATGACGGCTGTCCTCCAGCTCTCAAGTCAGACATTTGGATGAATTGGCTTCGTTTACGAGGTGCACATCCAAGACATGTCTTTGAGCGCTTCAGCTCACCATTCAGATAACTCGCTGCGGAAGGGCTTAAATTCACAGCTGTCTGGGGCGATTCTCCATAGAGTTACCCACGGTTGAGTATAGTTATGGCTCCTCCACACACGGGGGCGCCCTCGTGCCTGTACCATTGCCAGTCTACAGTACATGAGTATACCTGCCGATTGCTAAAAATATTGCTTCTGTTGGCTGAAAATTTTTCCTATCAAAAAGAAAGGCATGTCCATCAGATCGATGCTCCCTTGATAGTGGTATATGAAAGATGCTCCGCAGAGCAGTTATATTATTAGGACGACAGAGAGCCACAAGGTAACTATCGCAGCCGTCCAAGCCAGACCCGCTGTAAGTACGCCGTAGCATCCATCGAGTGGGTTCGATCTGGGGGTGGGCTAAATGAATATCTGGTCTTGCGGGTACAGTAGTTCTTAACCAAGTGAAGGTAGTTGTTGCGCCTACAGTGGTCAAATGAATGCCCTCTCTCTCTCTCTCTCTCTCTACGGAATACTCCATAGCTACCGAATTTGATACTAGCCGACAAGATCGTGAATCTCGCCTGCCGCAGTTAACTATCTTATTTCTTGCATGTGTTTGCCTTCTGTCAGCCACTTTGCCTGGCAGTTAGTCCTGTCGCTCCCTGTTGATCGCTGCCAGCCAGCGAGGATCAATCGCATCCACAGAGAGATACGGACTTCGATCAACTCCCTCTGTCATATTCGCAGGAACATTTCCCAGCCCTAGGAAACTCCACATGTTCTTCTTCCGATAGGTGATTGTGTAGTCTTCGAACCGGGGTTGCTTCATCAGCTCGATGAAATGCTCCGAGCTGCCCGGCCAGATTGCATTCACCCGTCCAGTCTTGTAGTCCTTGTACCAGCTCCGGCAGCGGTCTGCCCAGATAGTATGCTTGGTCCATTCCTGGACATGCTCGTTGAAGGCGTCGGTGACGTCCTGTCGCGGGCTGATCGAGTGTATATCCTCATTTTGGATCTTGCGGATAAGTTTGACGGCATAGCTGCCCGCCTCCATCAGTGGGCCGACCACCGATCCCTGTCTGCCAGTCAGCCAAACTCTTCCGTATCATTTTAGACGTTGTGAGGGATTAGAAAAAGGTAGTTTATACGTTGTGGATAGGCCATGTCGGGCCAAAGAAAGAGATCATGTTAGGGAACCTAGGCACCTCAGCGATCAGCAGCTGCTTTATATCCAAGAATTAAGCAGGACTTAAGGGCATCCAGAATATTTTAGTTAGTTATTTCGTCACTCACTCACCCAGGGACTCCCAGACCAAGATACGACTCCGGGTGAGTCTTCCATTTTTCACGAAGATCGACGCCCCCCTGGCCAACAAGCGGGAACTTGGGTCGGTACGAAGTGTCGAAGCCTGTGGCGCATATGATCGTATCCGCCCTTCTCTCGGTACCATCTTCGCCGATCAACCCGTCTGCTGTGAATTCAGTCACTGCCGTGAAGTGGACGTCGACGTTGTCCTGCTGGATCGCCGCCATAAACGGATCTGCAGGGGTCATTCTGCGGCATCCCACGCCAAACGAAGGCAGAAATCCTATTATTTTGTCAGTTATTTCATCAGCCTGACTGCTAACTGGTTAGCTGTCATGATGAAGGCGAAAAGATGGCTATTATACCCCTTAAGAGACGCTCGTCTTTGATGCATTCGGTCATTCGCTGCTCGTACATCTGGCGGACAGCCGCCTGTGCCGGGCTCCCCTTATAAAACATCCCCCAGAGGGCATTGATCTGGTCTTCCCAGGACTTGCAATGCTCAACCAGCGCCTGCGGATCGGACCTGAATCTCTCCTTCTCTTCGTCCGAATAGGCTGAGTTGCCTCCCTGGTTTCCCGCAATGGCCGCGAACCATGTACCCTATATAGACGGGGTGGTCAAGATATGAGGCCACCGAAAGGGGTGTGCATCCAGAGCGCAGACTTACTGTCCTCACGAATACATCCATATGTTTTACGTGTGGCTGCATACCAGGAACCGTCTGGATGCTCGAGGCTCCGCTGCCAATTACTACAACGTTCTCCCCTTTCCATTGCTCTTCCTGGTAGTCTTTCGGCCATGCTGCGGTATGAATCAACTGTCCTCTCCCGTTAGTTATCAACACAGATAGACCGGGAGCCTCAGAAGCCATCAGGGAGATGATTACCCTTCCCGTGAATTCATCAAGCCCAGGAATATCTGGCCACTTGTACTTATTCAGGAACCCCGAAGCATTCAACAGAACATGGCACTTCTCTTCGATAACGATCTGGGATCCATCCGGCGCCGTCTGACTGAGCTCTACTCTCCACTGGCCGCAGGCCTCTTCCCAGTAGGCGCCTGTCACTCTCGTGTTGAAAGTCATGTACTTGCGAAGATCAAAGACTTCGCACACTTTGTCTAGATACGCCCACACGTCTGTGACATATGAATAGATGTTGTTCCACTCGGGCTACCAAATATATCAGTATCCATCTTAACATCAATACACCCACCCTCCCACGGTGGACAGGACATGGTGATACCAACATTAGGAGCAAAGTTGAATATATAAGAGTGACTCGGCGCATCGCACGCACAGTTTGGATATCTATTCTCCAGCCAGGTACCACCTATATCATGGTTCTTATCATATACAACATGCTCAACATTCTGGCAATGCTTCTGGATGTTGTAGGCCATCATGATACCGCTCAGGCCCGCTCCTATAGTTAATACCTTGATCTTTCTATTATACCCGTTAAACATCGCCTCTTTATCGATTTCGTATGCAGAGCCAGGTCTGCTGCTCGTGTCGAACTCCGGTGTAACTCTAGGCGCCATTATCGTGGGATATAATAACAATCTCTACTGCCAAAGAATGGTATAAAACGAGTTGCTAACGAGGCTACCTGCAGGTATATACCTTTGAAAGGGAGTAAATCCCAACCAGGAAGCTTCCTTCCCTTTATACATCCTAGCATGTCCTATGTCGAGGCTGAATCTTTCGTACGAGCTGGCCTAGAACATGGTGGTGTCCGGGTACGGACAAGGGTACACACACGCAGTGTAGCCTGTATGTGTCGGCGGGCTTCCATTAACCACTTCAGGAAGCACGGCCTCTTCTCTGCCTCACCCATGCAGGGCACGGCTTGTGCTTCCAGGTGTGCCGCGAACTGTCCCGCGGCCTCCGTATGGTTGGAAATGCAGCCAACTCGGGTTGTTCGCACATCCAGCCATGCAACATTCGCGAGGATATCCCGACTGGAACCAGACGATACCCTCCAAATCAGCTGCTGTGCATATTAAAGTACTTTCTGACTGCGCCGCAGGGGTCCAACATCCAAGTCTATGCCCTCATAGGCTGGTCGAAGACCTGACATGGAAGAACATGCATTATTGTGACTAGGATTAGATATTACTGGCTTGGATACATACACACACGCGTACATCTTAGCTGGAGAACTACATTTACGTCACAAGGTACTAAGCGCGCTCGCAATAACAGAGGGCCAGGGGTTATATCAAGGCCTGTGGAACACAAACCCTAGTCTTGTATGTCAAAATTCGACAGTCAGAGGTAGGTCTCTTGAACTCTGCCCAGCCCATATCTTGAATTTCCCGGCTGTAGGAATTATCCAGTTCTGCTGGTAAATGCTCCAGTAGCTCAAGTCCTTCCGTGTCAAGGACAAGGTCACTTCCTTTGACTGACCGGGCTGTAGCTCGACCTTTTCGAAGTTCCGTAACACACGGTTAGGGAAGTCTATAGATATCACCCGCTCATCCTCATCTTCCCCTTCTTCTTTGACTGTCTCGTTAACACCGGACGGGAAAGAGACGTAAAGTTGAACCACAGTTTTACCAGCTCGTTCCCCAGTATTATTAACCGTGAGACTCACATTGACCATGGACTCGAAGAGTGATGGATTGCCTCCTTCACCGCCCCCAGCAGTCAAGTTGTATTCGTCAGTACGCTGCCGGAGAAAGTGAAGGCGCTCCGTTTCCTGAACATCGTCCACGGACGAGATGTATGGATAGACATATCTTTCTAGCCCGTTGAATCCTTCAGGGAACAGGGCTGAATCTGGATCTGGGATGCTTTCATTATATGAAGGTAGAGTCACGTTAACCTCAGACCGTGAATTTGCTGTCGCCGATTTCTGGCTTAAGGCTTTGATTTTGATACCCGACAATTGAAAGGAGGTATATGATAGGCCATAGCCAAACTCGTACCGGGGCGTGATGTTCTGCTTGTCAAAATACCGGTAATCGAAATATAACCCCTGGGTGAAGTTTTTCTGGGGTACCACGTCGTCGCTCTCATACAGAACCTTGGACTCGGGTCCATAATCTTCAGGATCCTTTGCGATGGTATACGGGAGTCTCCCAGTTGCATCGACTCTGCCAAATAAGACGTCTCCAAGGGCTCTGCCACTCTCCTGGCCGGGTAGATTTGCAAGCACAACAGCTTTAATTCCAGGCTCTTCAATCCAATCTTCCATCATTACTGGGCCAACAGAATGAAGAACCACGATAGTGCTTCCTTTGCCTTTGCCACACTTATCCGAGGCCTGCCTAATTAAATTATTGCCATCCTTTTGAATGGACAAGTCGTTGCGATCCCCATATATCCCTTCCCAGGAGGCAAATCCCTCCCCTGAATCCGCATTGGCGAATACAATGCATAAGTCTTTATCCTCCAAATCGTTATCTTGGATGCCGTTATAAAGGTATTCATTTAGAGACACATTGTTGCTGTCATACGTCTTCTTGATCTCGTCCCACGGTGTGATGAGATATGGGAACTCGACCGCGCCACTGCCCCATCCGGATCCAAGAGTGCCCTGGTTGCAGGACCTATCGGGGCAAACGTTTGGCCCATCCCCTGGGCCAGCATCTTCCCCAAAGACACCTACCTTGGTCTTCCTATCCGAAGTGGTTCCTTTTGCAGAGAGGGGCAATATTCTATCTTCATTCTTTAAAAGGACAGTGCCTTCAACCGCAATTTCTCGAGCAAGATCAATGTGGGAATTATTCCACACATTTGGTGCCCGGACATAGCGATTGACAGTCACATTTTGGTCATCATCGCTCCCTTCATGCAAATGACCCGTTTTATTCTTCGTCCAGGACGAAAAATTGGGGCCTCCTCTGCCGTCAGGAGGTGGTTTTTCCCACTCATCTTGCTTCAATTGATACCATGCCGCAACAATTCTGGTTACCATGTAGTTTAATTTTCCGACTTCAATGGATCCATTAAGAACGGCAGAAGTCAGATTTGGCCCCCAAAATGATTCTCCCGAGTCTGAGTAGTGTATTTCCCCTGGCATGCTCACGTCCATTCCTGCAAGGGCGCTTGCAACACCAAGTTGTTGACCATACCAGTCTGACTGAACGAAACCCTGGAATGCCAACTCATCTTTAAGTATTCCGTTCAAAAGCCGGTTGTTGTTGCAGGAGTATGTGTTGTTCACCATTTGATAGGCACACATTACACTACCAACACCGGCACGGACGCTTTCGGAAAATGGCCAGACGTACACCTCATGAAGTGTGCGGTCATCTATATTGGTAGACATGGCTTCAGAATTATTCCATTCATGTGGCTGCCGAAAGTGTTCTTGTTCGTTCAGAACAAAATGCTTTGCGGTGGCAATTACGCCTTCGTTTTGCGTCCCTCGTATGGTTTCTGCGGACGCAATTCCTTGAAGAACAGGATCGGTGCCAAAGCCTTCCCAATTTCGTCCTCCCGCTGGAAGAACGCCCAGAGGGCCCATGGAAGGACCTAAGAGCACATTCACCCCTTTTCGCCGAGCCTCTCTTCCCAGTGCTTCACCTCTTTTATACATCAGCTCCCTGTTCCAGGTAGCTCCAACAGTGATACCGGCAGGAAACGCGGTAATGTTGTCAGCAAAGCGTATCCCTAGCGGACCATCTTGTAGACATAACGAAGGAAATCCAACTTCTGTGGCAGGGCCTGGGGAACAGCGTTAGTTTGTGTACGTTAAATGCTAAGCATTGGTGGTGATAGAAAAAGCTAACCCGTATTACCCACGCAAAGCCCCATTTGCCAGCCTACACCAGTTGTAACATTGACCTTTTCCACCAGAGTCATATTGTTCACCAGTGACTGGGCCTTGAAATAGCTATCTTGCCATCTTGGGACCGTTTTAACCTGCGGAGAACGCTGTTTCATGGGAAATGTCTAGTAGAACGAATATTAATATGCATTGGAAGCATTCATGAATCCTACTGGTTTTGGAAATTGGTAATGTGGAAAACTGCAGACATTTTTCATGTTTCTAAGACTTACTCTGTTAGGGATGTGGTATTTGCGCTGTAACCTGGGACGGTCGAGGCTCTCCTGGCTTCCCCAGAATAGAAATATAATGATTATAGTGAGAAGAGCAGCTATTAGGAAGAGTATTAGAGAAAGGAACCTCCTTTGCTTGATCCATGCTGGGTTGTGATTCCTCGTTTCTTTCAACTTATCCATAACTGGGGGATCAGTCGATGAAATCGGGTGGGCTGGTGATGGAAATCATGAACCAGCATTTAAATGTCAGTTCTCAAGTTCATAACCTGAGCCTGTGTATTCTTTTGATCAACTTTGACAAGGCGACCTAGTTTGGGATCTCTTTGATTGCGAAACAGTCGTGATTGTCCGGTTGGTGTAAAGAAGTAGTGCACTGAATTGAATAGTGAATACTCATTTCTATCCGTCATGGAGAATATGTAGAAGTAGCAATGCCATATTGCAGGGTATATACACCGAAAAGGGATGTAGTTATTTCCCAGTGGCAACAAATAGGGAACCAATTATGACGCATATGCTCTGGCCGGTCGAATTCTAGAGCTGAGATAAATGGGCAGCTATGGACATAACACTTCCAGTAGAGCCAATGACTGACAAAACGCATGACTACATCAAGCAAATGCATGAGCGGTCGAGAGTAAATTGTATGGAGAAATCTGAGCGTTCGAGTGGCGTTTCTTTCCTTCTATTCAGCCTCAAACGAGGAGACTATTATGTAATCGCAGACTTTAGTATAGTGGCCAATGGTAATGCAAGTATTTATTATATCATACTGATATAAGGTTTCAAGCTGCTGTAAAGTGTCTTATTGGCTAATTCTTATCAAGTCTTCCAGCCAATAGAAAGGCGTGGCGCTTCCCCCTTTTACCCTAGAGCCGTCATGCCATCCCCTTCATTTTAACCCCTTTATTTTAACATTCTCGATAATTATATTTGCTGGTAGAGTACTCTGTACGTCTGTTCAGTAGCTATCCGGTGTAAATGACATATATTCAGTATAAAAATGTGGGGTCAAATGTCCCCGAATATCCCATATATACTGAACAGAATCTTGGAAGCTCTGGAATTTTATATAAGAAGGATTGTCAAGGAACCATATACCCCAGAACTTTACTGTCTTACTGTACGGTACAGAACTTTGAGATATACTATAGGAGATTCTTTCTATTTCAAAGCATCGTACGGGGTGTATACTTGCTAATCGATATACAACATCAGAATACTGACAGGTGTCCGAGCTGTCGGTCTAATGCCCTATTCACTAAATTTGTACATTTCTTGTACAAGAAATCAGGAGGGAAGACCTCATGATATGATGGTTCTGAATGATGGGCTCCCATCGCGATATAAAATGGGTATGTGATAAAGCACATGTTCATTGAACAAGACATCAACGTTTGGGGAAGAACACGCCCATGAACAAGAGACACTGTGTTGTTTCTGACTCGATAGAGAAAACAAACGGCTTATTAAAAACAAGGACGGTCGATGGCTCCGCCACACTCCTGGTCATCATTACGGCAGTGGCAGCGGCGGCCCTGGTACCCTGTTCATCAATCGTAATAGCCGAGTTATGGAGGATAGCACTGAGAACATTTTCTCCGGCTCCCATCTTGGGAAAAGTAGAGGGAAGATAGGTCCCTATGCGCTGGAAAACTTCCAAAAGATCCATACCGTAGGACATATCAACCTTTGGAAACCCGAGCCTACTGACTTTTTTCTGGCGGAATGGAGCCTGCTCAGAAGACAGACTGGACAAAACCTCTTGCATTGATACACCATCTCGCGGTAGATAAGCCTTGAATGAAGTTGATGCAGAAAAGCTCTCAGCTTCATATGGTAGCTTCACTGCATTGTACTTTGGTGTATCGCATACGAATATTTCTTCTCCGAAACGAAACATCATGTCAACACGGCGAATATCTGAATCCGTGACCTTGAATGGATAGTCTGTTGTGGTATTTTTCGGATCAAACTTTTCTTTCCAGGTGCCCTTGAATGCTAATGCGTTGATGAGTACAAGGTGAGAGTGAGCAAGGTTGTCATTGCAAATCATGTTGTTGATCATGCCCATTGTGTTGTCTGATATCCAGCCGTTTATGATGGTCAGCCCGTCAAGTAGGCGTGGGAATTCCATATTTGCGCAAACCTCAAACCCTTCCAAGAAGCGGGCGTACTCATCATCTAGTACTGTCCCTTTGTCAGCAAATATTGCATTTGCTACTGCAGTGGTGTCTTTGCAGTTCTTTAGGAGGTGGTGGACAACGTCGAATTGCTCTGGCGTCGCCACGCCCAGCGAGGTGCACATCCTCTCTGCGTCCGACGGGGTGGCAGCACCTATTAACATGGCCATCGCGATGCCTATGGATGCAGGGGAGATAGCGAATCCTGACTCTGGAATTTCCTGGCCACATAAATCCTGCAGTATTGCCCGCGCAGCGCCGCTGATGCAGGAATAAGCAGGATGGACAGCCATGGTGAATATTCTTGGAGTAGAGTGCAACGAGGCTGTCCAGCTACCAACTGATGGATAAAACCAGAGAAACGCCTCTTTCTTGATGGATATTGAGCCCGGTAACCTGGAGTTGGAAGATGTTGATGAATGTTGGTTGAATTACAGCAAGAGAAAAAGGTTCTATCTATTTATTTATGTTTGTTTTGATCAGTTTTCTTGGTCAGGCAGGCATGGTTGAACATGTGAGGAGGCAGCGATGGCTTCGCTTGGGTCAAAACCAATGACAGCGATATAGTTCACAAGCCCAAGTACAGGGAAACAAGTACGGAGGGGGCGCCGGCGGAGACAAGACACTGCAACTACAGACCAGCTGGCTTGCTAGGGGCGAGCTATAGGTGAGTGAGTCTACTTCTGTATCAGTCACTGAAATTTTAATCTTCTATGCTTTAGTTATATCAAGCGCTTTTATGAAACTTCAAAGCGTAACTAGCCATATCTTTATGTGCAAACGTTGAAGATAAAGGAAAAGCTATGCATATGTACTCTAAAAAACCGTTAAAATAGCTACTTATGTACAACACTGCTGCGTCGATGGAGGGCTTCTGCATCTTCGTGGCGGGCGGTTTGTCCACGGTACTCTCGCTTTCCTCGAAGGAACCAGTCGGCGACGATGATCATAATGACAACAAAGTAGACGACAGAGACGTAGTTCATAGCTTTTGGTAGATTGTTAGTTGATATGATTGTGGCTAATCAAAAGGGGTTAGACAGGGGTAAAGAGTAGACTTACTTCCAGCAGTGACAGGATAGACTGAAGGGAAAGAATACATAATGAGAGTAAATAGCGTCCAACAGAGCAGGATGATGTTGGCAGCAAGACCAAACTTGCCTAGCCAGAAGGGCCCATGCTGAATGTTGTTCCGTCCCTTGATAAGAAGACAGACAACCGGGATGACGTATGACACGTACAACAGCACGATGCATGCAGTGACCATGCTGTTGAATGCAGTTGAGGAACCAAGGAACAAGAGCCCCAAAAGACCAACGATGGTGCAACTGAATGCATGAGCCGCCAGGGGTACATCGAGTTTGGGGTTGATCTTATTCAGGCCCAGGGTGGTATGGAAAGGGAGGCCGCGGTCGCGGGCAAAGGACCAACATAAGCGAGACTGCCATGTATGAGAAGCGATCTGGCAACCAATTCCAGTGGCCAGGACGAGAGATTCGAGGACAATGGCGCCGGCTTTGCTACCGAGGGCCTGGAAGTAGAGTTCGAGGATGGGCACACCAGTCGGGGATTTGACTACAGTGTTGAAGTCGTTCAGACTAAAGAACATAGAGATCACATAGAACCATGCAGTAACAAAGCCGATTGCAACTGTTCCCATTATAGCGATGGGGATAGATCGTTCGGGGGCAGCGACTTCTTCAGCCATATGCGTTGCGGCATCAAGACACGCAAACACCCAGTTGGTATTGATTAAACCAACCAGATACGCAATGCCATCCTGCTTCCAACCTGTGGAATTAATGAATGTCGCAAAGACGAACTTGGCTGACTGGTGTGTGGGTGCTTTGGCGGGAACAGTAATGAGGATCGTAATAAAGGAGATCAAGGAGGTATAGAGCGTAACAGTGGCGATCTTGGGGAGGAGTCTTCCGACGCAGTTGAACAGAAATGCAAACCCGTTTATCACCTGGTAGGCAACGACAGTATGCCATGGCTGAGGGACGCTATTAGTATGGTAGTCAGCCTCTCTATAACTATACACTATTAGGTGAAGTACACTAGAGTTTCTTACAAGTCAGGATGGCCCATCTGCCACATACCAACCGCGGCCGCACCGAGTCCCAGAGCAACACTGGCAGATGTGAAGATGCTCCCGGCCCAGGCAAACCAGCCGGTCAGATACGATGCAAAATTGGCATACTTCTTGGGAGCCAGCTCATTTGCCCAGAAGTACTGTCCTCCAGCATTGGGCATGGCACTGGCCAGCTCAGAGAGGGTGATGGCAACACAGGTCGAGATGAATGCGATCCATGGTATGCCATAGATGGTCAGCACCGCACCCCCTGAGTTGATACCCGTAACCAGTGAGGCAGAGATACCAAACCACGAGTTGGTAAGGGAGAAGCCAACGGCAAGCAAGGAAAGCACCGAGAACTTGCGGGTCATGTCCTGGGTGTACCCCATGGCCGCCAGCTTGGCTGCATCGCTATCGATCGATCCCTTTTCATCCCCGGAGGATGGAGGGGACGGGTACCTCTCCGCCTTGGGGCCGATGCTCTCGTGGTCCATCTTGATCAATGAGGATTTAGTTATCCCAAGAGCTAGCTAGTAGTTCTAGTAGTTACTGGCGATAGTTGACGGGCGAAGTAACAAAGGCTGGTAGGGCAAGCTCTCGATGGCTTAAAGAGGAAGTCGGTCTCGAGATTGTTTGTCGCATATGGGATTTCAATGGACTTCAATGGGATTTCACGGGCAGCGGGTCGAAATCACTGTACGGAGTATAGAGACAGCTCTAGTCCATCTACAGCTCCTTGATGATGATATGGGTTGTCGCTTATGGGTGGTACACGGTGCTACGCATCCGGTGTGGGCGATGCATGCACTGATAGCCTCTCTTCGTCCAGGGAGGAGGTGAAGACGTTGATATAAGTAATTCCCTTTTCCCAAGCGAAGAAAAAAAAAGATTTGTCCACTCTGGTGTGGAGTAACTAGTCCAGAGAATTTTCACGGCTTCTTGCCGACTCGAATATTTTTAGTTGATACGAGCAACTTTCACAAGCTTGAGTTGTTCGATGTCTTTTCTCAAATTTTTAGTTAACTATGCGGCCTCGTCCTCTCGTCGTGAGGATTTAATGCAGACTCGAGAGATGATGCTGCAGTGCAGCTTCTTGAAGGATCAGAATCTGCGGGAAAACACCGGCTAGTTATCCCTGGGCAAGTGTGAGTTATGAAGCCGCGAGGTGGCCACCAGAGTTTTAAGGGAGAAGCGCCATGATGTCATGTTCCGCCAGTGTTGCATCCGCCGAGCGAGGGTTCGGAGATGAGCGATGCTGACGGTGTTGGCGTAGAGCTGGAGTTGAGCTCAGTTCGTGTTGCTAACTAGCGACACTGATGCCCAGCATGTAACTAACTGGATGTCGAGCAAAAGCCGTAAATGGTCTGTCTTGGTTGTCATCAAGCCAAGCCGTAGTTTGCTGGTTATGTACGATGAGTCTTCAAGAGTCTTTCTCGCTCATGCATAACTATCCCTCGTACTCCGTAGGGATGTGCCATATAAAAGGTACTCCGTAAGACAGCACAGGGGTTCTGGAGTCGCAGCAATGTTGAATACCCCAGAGTAACTAAACAGTATATGATAGTTACTCTCCAACTGCCTCCGCCATGGCTTTATCCGCACCTGAGTCGGCCATAACATTTTATGACATCGCCCTCGCATCGCCAGTAATAGAAAACGCAGCCTCTCCCAACCCTTGGAAGTCCAGATACGCTCTCAACTTCAAGAAAATTCCTTATAAGACGAATTGGATTCCTCTGCCTGATATAAGCACTGTCAGGACCTCACTTAACATCCCAGCGTCACGTACCTTCGCCGATGGGTCTCCATATCACACTCTCCCTATGCTATCTGACCCAGCTACGGGCAAAGTTATAGGAGATTCCCTTGAGATCGCCGTGTATCTTCAGCGCCAGCACCCCTCGTCTGGAGGAGACCTGTTCCCAGAGCAAGACCTGTCTTTCACCTATGGAGAAGGCCCAGTGCTGTTCGCGCCCATCGCGGAGTCGAAGGTGGAAAAGGCCATAGAGGCATACGTTAAATTCAACACCAGTGTCGACGCTGCGTTTACCGCACATGTGCCGCTCATGGTACACGGACTACCTTTTGATCCAGCCACGGCCGAACAGTCAAAGGCTGAATTCTCACGGAGAGCAGGAATCCCATGGGAGGACTTGTCGGTTAAGGGGGAGCAGAGAGGCGAAATGCTCAAGTCGTATGAGCAGGCCCTCTCTGGACTAGCGGAGCTGTACAAGAGAGACATAACTGGGCCGTTTCTGTTGGGCAACATACCGTCCTATGCGGATTTCATCGTCGGAGGATGGCTGAGAATGAGCCAAGTCACCCTCCCCAGGGAAGAATGGGAGGCTTTGAAGAGCTGGCACGACGGGATCTTTGGACAACTTCACCAAGCGCTTGAGGCGTATGCCCAGATGGACTAGGCGCAGAAAACTATTTAGACATTGTCTTCAAATCGAAAACTTCAATCCAATTTTAGACCTCTATCAAAAACATATAAACCCAGAACGCCAATGGCCCGGATTCTATCTAATTAGTGCCCGTCTCTGTCTATAAAAAAAAAAGAAAAAGAAAAAAAAATAGATACCCGGTCACGTATACCGGAGACGAACGATACCAAACAACGGGCGGCAAAAAACAAGACATAAACTCGTGAGATATCCGAACTCTTAACATAACAACCATTAGGTACTTTTGATCAAAGATATATAAACGAAAGAATCGTCGAACGATGGCAAGCTACTGCTCGTCATCAGTATCGGGCGGGTGAGGAGTGCCGGCAGGGCTGTTAAGCCACTCGATGTGTCTTAGCCTGCGGCGCACTTCACGCTCCTTGAGTTGCGCTCTGGTCATTTTCTTCTTCTTCTTAGCCTTGAACTTAAGCTCGCCTCCGTCTTCGGCGCCAGAGTTCACGGCTGAAGGTGCTGCACTAGATACTACACTGCTGGCCACAGTGCTGGGATTGCGAGACTGGTCTTCGAAGCGATCAAGAGCAACAGCAGTGGTGCCAGCATGAGTCATCCGGCCGTTTTCAACGTACCATCTTTCAGGGCAGAGGGCACCAACGAATTCATCGTTGTGAGAAATCATGACGACGCCACCCTTGAACTCACGGATAGCAACAGCTAGGCCACCCAAGAAGTCACGGTCCAAGAAGTTAGTAGGCTCGTCCAGGACAAGCAAATGAGGGTTGTTCCACATGGCTCCGGCCAGGACGACCTTGACTTTCTGTCCGCCAGAGAGACCGCCAATTTCGTTGTGGTTGGCAATCTCAGGGTCCAGGCCGATATCTTCAAAGTGCTTAGAGATAACCTTAGGTTCGAGAACCCGGTATCCAAGACCTTCACGAGAGGCTTCATGATCGTCAAATTCTTGGACGAGCTTCTGGAATCCAAGTTCCAGAAGAGTTTCACGCGATATCTGAGTGTTGTGCTTGGGGAGCATGTTCTTCCATTTACTAGTGTTTATTAGCATTAACCAGATCTCAAGATGTCGTGAACGGCTAGTGGGCGTGCTTACACTTCATATTGGAAGGTCTTCTTGTACTTTTGCCTTCCCATCAAAGCTTCGATGTTGCGAGGGCCCTTTCCGTCACCGATGTCAACAGGCTTGGCCATCTGGATCTTGTCCTCCTCGGTGAGTATACGGGTTTGTTTCAGAAGGACTTCACGGTCATCTCCATTGGCATATCTCCATTGGAGGTATTGATTGGGAGTCTTCTCCATATGCATTTCCACGTGTTCCAATGCGTGCTGTTTGATGTAACCAATTCGAAGATTGGGGTGCTTCTCAACTTTTCCGGTCTGTGGAATTGTTTCACCCGTAAGCAGCTTCATCAAAGTAGACTTTCCTGCTCCGTTACCACCAATGATAGCAACCCGAGAGGATAGAGTAAGAGCACAGCTTGCATCGACCAATGATGGTTTGCTGCTACCCGGGTAAGTGTAGGAGCAATTGGTCATGCGCAGGATAATGCGAGTTGCGGATTTGACGCCAGACAAAATACCAGGAGGTGGGAACTTGAAGTGTGCGTTGGCAGAGGATAGGGTGTAGTAACTCTTTGCTTCCGGTTTGACCTTGACGAAGCTATAATCATTCATTAGTATACGGGGTGGAGTATTTTATGGTTCAGAGGCGACTTACTCTGCGAGATTTCCCTTGTAGTGAACAAGCTTTTTCTGCTCATAATGGTAGATGTCCGTGCAGACCTCATCTAAGAAACCGGAGTCGTGACTGACAATCAAGCTGGTAACTTCTGTATGTTTCTTCAGGTATTCCTGCAACCATTTAACATTGTGGACGTCCAAATGATTAGTAGGTTCGTCAAGGAGGAGCACGTCAGCACCCATAACCATGGCTCTGGCAAGTGCCAGTTTCATCTTCCAACCACCAGATAGAGAGCCAACAGGTTGTTGCTGTCTCCCTTCTGGGCCAGGGGTGAACCCAACCTCGTTAAGGGCAGCGGAGATCTTCTCTTCACCGGCAGCAGCCATCTCTGGATCCTTTGTGACAAACTCCAAGACGCTCAACTCGGCATCCTCGCCTTGATTATGTTCAACAAAACACGTTTTCAAGACGTCCTGAGGTGGGAAGCCTTCGAGCTTGCCGTTGGCGATACTGCGCATGAGAGTAGATTTTCCAACGCCATTACGGCCGCAAAGACCGTACCTATGGCCCTTGAGTAGTCTCAAATTTGCATGCGAGAGAAGAAGTCGGCCTCCGTAACCAAGGGAGAAGTTGGCATTGACAATTTCGATCTCCCCGTCATCTTCCTTTACTGGGACTCCAAATCTGCGCTCATCTTCTTCGACGAAATGAGCCTTCACAGCCGCAGCAATCTCATCATGTTTTCCGTCAGGAACGAAGGATTGGAGGTATGGGCCCACACACAATTGGATACGTTCAAGCAGTCGTGAATTGGCATCATCTCGGACCATGTTGGCAATATAGTTTCTGCTGGTTTCCCAGAAACGCTTCTCATCGGTATGGTTGAATTTCATGTATGGTTTCATATGCTCCTCAAGAACGGCCTCTACTTGCTCTGTCGTTGCACGTGAATCAATAGTGCCAGCTTCATCATCACCCATAGCCATGTTTATAACGTTCATAGCTCTAGTAGCTAATTCTCGAACTTCAGGGAGAGAGGCACCATCCTTGACACGCTGAACACCAGGCTTCAACTTGGGCAAGAAGGTCCTTGCTTCGACGGGATCGTGCACAAGTCGGGTAAGATTCTCAACAACCACGACAGTTTGACGGAGGACTTCTTGAGTGGTAGTTGGGGTATTGAGAGATCGTTCAAGGAGGGGAGTAAGTAATGCAAGCACTGGGGATGTCACAATGGCAACAAAGGTTGTTTGAGAGAGCGCATGGATGGCTTTCTGAAGTGTTTCGGTCGAGGGCTTCTCCATGGTTTTGAGAAGTAGTGGAATTCGCGGGGCAACGTCATCATTGTCAAGGACAGTCGACAGGGCAGTCATAGTCTTGACAGCTTGTTTAGCAACTTCTGCCTTCAAGTCATGCATCCCACCCTCAACAATAGGGATCAGGTCCTTCAGTTTTTGGCCTAGATTAAGTCGTAGAAGATCCTTAAGCTCCTCCTTCTCCTTGCTCTCCGTGCCAATCTCGGCTCTTTTTGCTACTTTTTCCAGCAACTTGTATGCACCGACTGTTCCCTGCCATTTCCCAGTGGGCTTACTGAGGTATTGAGCAAGGGGCTCAACAAGAGCGTGAACTAATGATTCCTCCTTCAGACATGCAAATAAAGCATCAATGGCATATTGAGCTGCTTCCCGAACCACTGCACCTTTATCTGCGAGGAGATCCAAGGCAAGGTAAAGCAATCCGCCATTCTCCAGCAGGAAGACAACCTCGCTCAACGGGTTCTTCAAAGGGTATTGTTCAAACAAAGCTCCAAGAATTAGCATAGAGCTCTCCCTCCTAGCACCATTTTTCTTATCTGTTGCCGCTTTCTTTATTTCAGGGACAACATTGAATGTGTGGAGGCATCGAACGCTCCCAGTGCTGATAAGTAGGTTGGTAAGGCCGTAGGACGCATCTAGTGCCTGCTGCGAGGTTTGGGCTTCGAATACGGTCTTCAAGAGGTGTGCAACATCGTCTCCGATAGCACCATCCGCAGCTTTCGATGCTACAGGGACGATTCTTTCTGATTGCATAGGTGCGGTTTCGAGGAGGGGCATTTTAATATTGAAACCCGACCTGTCGAAGGGGTGGGAAGGGAAGGGTGTTGGCGCACGAACAGGTTTAGGAATATCACATTCAAGAGAAGACAACGCAGAGAAACAGAACCAACAAGGAAATAAACAGAAAAAGGAGCCAAAAACAACGGCCGCCGGCCTTTTGAAAACGCTGAAGTTGATGAAGAAGAAAAAAAAAAAAATATTTCGATGTTTTCCTTTTCGGGATTTCCAATCGAGGGGCGAAGGCGTGGTTAGTCAGCATGTGAAATTTTCCTTATCGATTAGCACGGCGCTCCTAATTGGGCAACCCTTTCCTTCTATCAAGATCGACTTCGACGTCGACGTCGACGCCAACAACAAACGGAACTAACTCACGTCCACTTGTCACGAACATTCGCTGTTGATGGACTGGACAGAATATTACTTACAGAATACACACTAAATTATGCAGAATTTCTTTACGTCAGGCCCGAAAATGGCGATTGATTCGGACGATAGGCGTCGTGCTGGTTGCGTCCTTTTCAAATGATTGATAGGCAGGGCTAAAAGAATCCCGGCAAACTAGTTAACTACCTAGTTGAGAAGACCGAGCGATTCGGATCCACGCAAGGCTGCACGTTTTCTGACCGGGCTTCCCTGCCGCTATACCGAAGCTCCTATTATTATTGCACAGAGGCCAAGACAGAGCGCAGTCCGGCCTCAGACGAGAGGAAAGTTCGGTAACAGCCTCTTCAAAAGTACAACTACGGAGTACTAACTAGTTACATCTGTCGTTTGCCAGGTGAAAACCTGGCTTATTGCTGGCGTGCAATCAATGAGGGGCTATCAATTAGTGTGGACGATCTCATGGCCAAACTGGGAGATGCCACCAATGAAACACGATGCTGTGCCACTCAAGCACAACAGGCCCTCACAGGCAATCCCTGCCCATGCTCGATCAGGCGACTTCGTGCTGCGAAGCATTCATGATGTTAGCTAGCAGGTTTCTGGACGGAAAACTTACACCGCATAACTGTAGCTTAGATGCCCGGGAATTATCTCCGCATAACTGAGCTTTGCACGATGTTCTTCTGTTCTTGGACTACAAAAGACCATCAACGCATTTCCCAACACTGGCATAGCCTTGAGAAGGAAGGATGGTGTCCGCTGCCTGGTTACGATACCCTTCACTACTTACACTTGGCATCCTTGTTTCTCGGGTCGCTGCACAATATGAAGGTGATGTCCTTCGCTATGTCGACCAACTAGTTGGTACAGCAAATGGTGGACATGCCTTCCCTGGAGCCAGTCTGCCATACGGCATGGCTAAGGCCGTGGCTGATGTTGACGGCAGCGAAAACTATGGTGGGTTTACTACAGAAGGAAGCAACGTCACTGGTTTCTCGCATATGCACGACTCTGGAACTGGCGGCAAACCATCAATGGGGAACTTTCCTCTCGTACCGCAAATATGTCAGGATGATGATATAAACAAATGCAAGTTCTCGAAGGAGGATAGAGCGGTCCATTATATTGCCGATAGTGTGAAAGCGAGGCCTGGGTATTTTGCTATCAAACTTAATAATGGTATCGCTGCAGAAATGACAGTCACAGAACATGCTGCCCTATACCACTTTGATTTCCCCCATAATAATGCCGAATCAAATGGAAAGTTACCAGTGATCCTTGTAGACCTGACCGACATACAAGACTCAAGACAGAACGCGGCCATTTCGTTAGACGAGGATACCCTTCGAGTCAAAGCAAATGGGACTTTCCTGCCTAGCTTTGGAATTGGAACCTACAAATCTTTTGTGTGCGTTGACTTTTCTGGAGCAGAAGCAAAAGATACCGGAATATACATCAGCAACCGGGCAGGAACACAACCCAAAGCTATATCTGTGGGGCGAGGATTTAATTTGTTCTATATCAAAGCTGGAACGTATCTCCAATTTCAAGCATCGAGTAACGGACCAACCCGAGTCAGTGCCCGCGTGGGCCTAAGCTTCATCAACGAGGACCAAGCCTGTAAGAACGCCGAGAAGGAAATTCCGGGGTCCAATTGGGACTTTGAAAAAGTCCGCACAGATGCTGAGAGCGCATGGAAAGAAAAGCTTGGCCTTATTTCGTTGAAATCTGGAGGTGTCAGCGATATCTTTCAACGGACGTTTTGGAGTGCAATATATCGTTCTATGATCTCACCTCAGGATTACACTGGGGAGAACCCACTCTGGCAAAGCAAAGAGCCATACTTTGATTCCTTCTATTGGTACGTTGGTAATACGATGCAGTTTTACGAATGAGCCTATCTCTAACAGCACTTAGCCTTTGGGATTCGTTTCGCTCACAAATCCCTTTGCTCGCTATAATTGACCCGACCACTCTGGCGAAGATGATACGCAGCCTTCTTGATACTTACAAGCACCAAGGGTGGCTACCAGACTGTCACATGAGTTTATGCAAAGGCTTTACCCAGAGTGGATCCAATGCTGATGTTGTGATAGCTGATGCGTATGTGAAAAGCATCAGTGACAACATCGACTGGGACCTTGCATACGAGGCTGTTGTCAAAGATGCTGAAGTTGAACCACCGGATTGGTCTGTTGAAGGGAGAGGAGGACTCATGAGCTGGAAGTCCGTTGGTTATATTCCCGCCCAAGACTATGACTATCTAGGAACCGGAATCACAACACGCAGCATCTCACGAACAGTCGAATATTCATATAATGATTACTGTGTTGGAGTGTTAGGAAAGGGGTTAGGCAAAGAACACGAGAAATATTTCCAGAGATCTGGGAATTGGCAAAACTTATTCAAGGCAGACCAGACCTCATTTATAGATGGGAAGGATACAGGATTCGTTGGGTTCTTTCAGCCGAGATACTACAATGGCACATGGGGTTATCAAGACCCAATACTCTGCAGTAATATTGCCGCCTTTTGTTCCCTCACTTCGAACTCACAGGAGACTTACGAGTCAGGCATATGGGAGAATCAATTGTTCGTTCCTCAACCTTGGGTTCAATCAAAATTTAACTGACTATTTATCTAGTTTCGTTCCCCACGACATGTCTACATTAATCAACCTACTTGGTGGCCGCTCCAAGTTTGTTGCTCGTCTAGACTATCTCCACGATTCAAACATACTATATATCGGTAACGAACCGTCCTTCCTAGCTACATTCTTATACCACTATGCTGGCCGTCCTGCCCTATCCGCCAAACGCGCACATACCTACATTCCTTCTCGGTTCAATGACACGACCACTGGGGTACCTGGAAACGATGATTCCGGGGCGATGGGCAGTTTCACTGTCTTTGCGATGATGGGTTTGTTTCCTAATCCAGGACAAAATGTATATTTTATCATGCCTCCTTTTTTTGAAGCCGTCAGCATAAAACACCCGGTAACAGGGAAGACTGCAACGGTACGAAATGTCAATTTTGACAGCAAGTATGAAAATGTATACATTCAACGAGCAACGTTAAATGGAAAGGAGTACACTCGGAACTGGATTGGACATGAATTCTTCCTGAACGGAGGGACTCTTGAGCTTACGCTCGGAAAGGAAGAGAGCTCTTGGGGAACCGGACAGAACGATGTTCCACCTAGCCTTGGAGCGGGCATCAAGAGAGACGGACTCCGGTTTACGTAGGTAATAGAACGAGTGTTTGAGATGAAATATGACTTGATATTCTACAGAGATAATATCATATAACCCGAGAGGTAGCAATTAATCAACACGCAGGTAGAGAGCAACGTTTCCTAGCCATTTAGTTATACAATGTTCTCTGGCAAAAAAGTAAATCACTATACATCTATCTATTGGTCGTTAAACTATTAGTGCCTTCTCCAGAATGGCACCATTTCCGTATGTTTTAGTTGGTGTTTGTTGGTGGTATAAAGCTGAATGAACGTCTATTTCTTGTTAGTGGAATCCAAGAGACCCTGGAGGTTGATACTCTTTGGTCGCTCGATAGGGAGACCAAGGGCACGGCTCCAGATAAGCTGGGCGAGTGGACCAAGGGCACGGCTGACACCGAAGGTGACGGTGTAGTAGAGCGGCTGCTGGAAACCGTAGTGGTGGAAGAGGACACCGGAAGCGGCGTCAACGTTAGGGTGAGGGTTCTTGGTCTACAACATTATTAGTACTTCTGTTGAAAAATGTCTGGTATCAATATGTTATGCCTACCTTGCCGTGCTCAGTGAGGACGCCTGGAGCAATCTCGGAGTTCTTCTTGACAAGTCTGAAGACAGGGTTCTCCATGATATCTGGGCGGGTGCTGGCAAAGTCCATAAGAGCCTCGAAACGAGGATCAGGCTTTCGGAGCACACCGTGGCCATATCCAGGGACAACCTGGCCAGACTTGAGGGTAGACCAAAGGTAGTCCTTGACGTCCTGGTCGGTGAAGTTGTCACCGATCTTAGCCTTCATGTTCAAGATCCATCGGAGCACCTCCTGGGCAGCAAGTCCATGAAGGGGGCCAGCAAGTCCGAGAAGACCAGCGCTGTAGCTAAGGAATGGATCGCTGAGAGCAGAACCAACAAGGTGAGTGGCGTGGGCAGAGACGTTTCCTCCCTCGTGGTCACCGTGAAGAGCGAGGTAGAGACGGAGGACGTCGTGGAAGCTCTCGTGCTCCTTGCCGCCCTTGCCAAGCAGGTCAGCGAAGTTGTATGCCCAGTCCATGCTGGCATCGAGCTTCTGAGCACCAACGGCATCAATCTCATTGGGGCGGAAGACCAAAGCAGCGATACGTGGAATCTTGGCGAGGAGAGCGATGCTGTCGTCAAAGGTTGGCTCCCAGTAGTCGGCCTTGCTAATGCCGTCGGCATAAGCCTTGGCAAACTTGGACTCAGTGTTCAAGGCAGCAACAGCGACAGACAGCTGGGTCATTGGATGCATATCCTTGGGGAAGGACTTGACGAGGTCAAGGATGTGCTTTGGGAGGTCCGACTTCTCAGCGAGCTCGCGAGAAAAGGCGCGGACCTGGGCAGTAGAGGGGACCTGGCCGGTCAAGAGGAGCCAGAACATGGCCTCAGGCAGCATCTCAGTGCCAGTGGTGCCCTTGGGGAGCTCCTTTTGGCAGTCCTTGATGGTCTTGCCATGGAAACGGATACCCTCGTTGGCGTCAAGAACAGAGCCCTCCCAGACCATGGCCTTGAGGCCTCTCATACCGCCAATGGTGTTGCCAATGGTGACCTGGCCGATGTTCTCGTCAGCACGGGCCTTGACCTGCTTGAGAAGCTCTCGCTTGGCTGGAATGGCATCCTTGAAGACGGTCTTCAGGTCTGGTTCAGCGGTGGCATAGGACCGGGTGCCTAGTTGGCGTGAGGACTTCTGCACCTGGCAATTAGCAAACAGCCGCATTTCCTTCTCCCCGAGCAGCCGCAGCAACCTACCTGGGCAGCGCGAAGCGCCTGTCTCGTAGCTCTCGCAGTGAAGGCCATTGTATCTCTCGATCGTGCAATTGTTCAGATGTGTTGATCCTGCGTCTGCGGCGGTCGATATTGTTGCGGCGAGAGAAAGGCGGGAGTTGTTCTTGACAGGTGAATTTAAGCTCGCGCACGGCTCGGTTTTCCGCGGTAAACTTTGTGAGATGCCTCGGCCGGATTTTCACGTCGGCCTCAAGCGCCGAAGACATCAACACGAACGAACCTTGGAAGAGATCAATGGAAACCAGCAGACGAGGAGAAAATACGACGACGATAAGGACACAATTAAGGAAGAAGGAGAAGGAGATCACAAGATAACGAGGAGTGAAAGAAACAGGATGCTTCGCTCAGTGTCACGCCAGCTGCCGCGAGCTCTCCGCAAGCCGACACCCGCATTCCCCACGATCCGCTGCATCTCCAGCACCAGCCTGCGAATGGCCCCCCAGCTACCCGCTGTACGCCCTCCCGTATCATCGGCGCTTCCATCAGACTCATATCAGCTCTTATCAACCGCTGAGAAAGCCGGTGCTGCCGAAGATGCCCTGTTTGAAGAGCAAATCAAGGCCGTAAACGAGTGGTGGGCATCCGACAGATATGAGGGTATCAAGAGACCATACTCCGCCGAGGCAGTGGTGAGCAAGAGAGGAGCCTTGCAGCAGACATATCCCAGCTCGTTGATGGCGAGGAAACTCTTCAACTTGCTGAACGAACGAGCTGCGGAGGGCAAACCAGTCCACACTCGTCAGTAATATCTCCCGGGCTGATTATAAATGCACTTCGGCTAATAGATGGCATTGCTTATAGTGGGAGCAATTGACCCCGTACAGATGACCCAACAAGCACCAAACCAGGAAGTGCTTTATATATCAGGATGGGCATGCTCATCGCTTCTTACCTCCACGAACGAAGTCTCGCCGGACTTTGGAGACTACCCATACAACACCGTGCCAAATCAGGTACAACGCCTGTTCAAGGCCCAGAACATGCACGACAGGAAACATTGGGATGCCAGGCGAAAGCTCTCGCCAGAAGAGCGCAAGAATACCCCATACATCGATTACATGCGCCCTATTATTGCAGATGGTGATACTGGGTAAGCAACATTTTTTTTACCAAACTGGAGAAAAAAAAACGTCACATATACTTACAACTCATTAGACACGGCGGCCTCACCGCAGTCATGAAACTAGCCAAATTGTTTGCCGAGAACGGCGCCGCAGCCGTACACTTTGAGGATCAATTGCACGGCGGCAAGAAGTGTGGTCATCTTGCTGGCAAGGTTCTCGTACCGATTGCGGAGCATATTAACAGATTGGTTGCTGCCCGTTTCCAGTGGGATATCATGGGCACCGAGAACCTTCTTATAGCACGAACAGATTCAGAGAGTGGTAAGTTGCTGAGCAGCACCATCGACGTTCGGGATCACGAATTTATCCTCGGTGTGACTGAGGACGGTGACCCCTTGGCCGAGACGCTCCAGAAAATGGAGTTGGAGGGCGCATCTGGCGCAGAGATCGATGTTTACGAAGCCCAGTGGGTTAAGAAACATAAACTGGTTACATTCGATGAAGGTAAAGCCTCCCTAGTTTTGTCTCCTTGCATCGCCTACTTTTAATGTTACTAACATCCCCCAGCCGTGGACCAACACCTCATCGCTGAAGGTGCTTCTGAGTCAGTTAGAAATGAATATAAATCGCATGTTGAGCAGAACCGTGATCTTTCGATCTCCGCTCGCCGTGAGTTGGCTGCCAAACACACAAAGAACCCCGTCTTCTGGTCCTGGGACATCCCACGCACCCGCGAAGGCTTCTATCATTACCGTGCTGGCAATGAGGCAGCTACCAAGCGTGCCATTGCATTTGCCCCCTATGCAGACCTCCTGTGGGTTGAGACCGGAGACCCCAACGTTAGCAAAGCTGCCGACTTTGCTGGCAAGATCCGCAAACAATTCCCTGGCAAGAAGTTGGTGTACAACCTGAGCCCCTCGTTCAACTGGATGGGACAAGGATTCACCGAGCAGACCCTTAAATCATTTATTTGGGATTTGGCAGAGCACGGGTAAGTAAATGTTTGTACTGTTCGTTGGAGATGCCCATGCAGCTAATTGTGCATTTACTAGATTCATTCTCCAACTTATCTCCCTCGCTGGTCTGCACTACAATGCTACAATGGCTACTGAGCTGTCTCGTGGATTCAAGGAAGACGGCATGCTATCTTACGTCAATTTGGTGCAGAAACGCGAAAAGGAGATGGGTGTTGATGTACTTACACATCAGAAATGGAGCGGAGCGCCGTATGTCGACGGTATTGTGGGATCTATCCTCAGCGGTAGCAGCTCAAACAAGAGCATGGGTGAAGGAAACACTGAAGACCGTAAGTAATGATGACTCGATATATTGGACGCCTTGCTAATGGTTGTTATATAGACTTTTAATTGTGGGTAGAGGTTCTGTACCAACTTTGTAGACTCCATCAAGTTTAGTAATGTATACCATAAACACTCCCTTCGGGTCTTGCTTGAGTGTGTAAATATGAATGAATCTTGAAGAAAAATATAGATTTTCTTATGGCCATCTCTGTTGCTGCCTCTACAGCACATATGTGTAACCCCTATCTTTGGTAAGATGTGATTATAGCCTTACACCTCCTGCATTAAGACTCTCCCACTCCTGATCTTTAAATTCTTCATACGTATCACCCTTTGGTTTAAGCCAGAGAATCTTATCCTCCTTTCCACCCCCGGTTTTTGTCCCTCGCTTAGATGGATCAACACCCTCTTCCCGTAGACCAACCTTGTTCTGCTTGTGGTTATGTATATGTGCAGAGGAATTTACTAGCCTTATAAAGACTGGCACTGCATACTTAGGCAGTCTCTCACGAGTATGTCTGAGGAATGCATCCCATTTGAAGCTAGAAAGGGCCTGTGGTTCAATCAAGAGAGCAGCACAGCCTGCTCGTCCTTCATGGTTTGGAACAGTGACGCCGTAGACATTAGCCTCAGCGACTCCAGGAAACTGGCCGAGCACCACAGCTACTTCGGCGGTAGAGACGTTTTCAGACTTCCATCTGAAAGTATCACCCAGACGGTCGAGGAAATGCCAGTGTCCGTCTTTGGTTCGACGCAGGGAATCTCCGCATCGATAATACAAATCTCCCTTCTTGAACACATCACGGGCAAACTTCTTTGACGTAGCGGATGGATTGTCCCAATAACCCTGGAAC